TTTATGTTAAACTGCGGCATGGTATCTCAATGAGCTAGCACTACAAATCGGCATAAGTCCACTAGTACAAGCAGCCACACAAACACACACATGTACGTGCACCTCGCTATATAAGTGCAATAATCTTGGGCGCGACGTTAAACCCAATTTCACAACACCTCACCTCACCTTCTGCCCTTGGTCCAAATTAGAATCCTTCCTACGACAGTTAATTCGAGATAATTGAAATGTTGCAAAGAATTCGTAGAATTTGTTCCCGGAAAATTTAAGAGGAGTCGAATGACTTTTATTACTTGCTGAATCACGATGGACGTCTACGATCTGTCTCGGGTGTCAGGAGAAAACAAGGGCATCATTTATGTATTGGTTACTGTTGTTGAATACACCGGCTTTGTGCAGCTCGCACGGGTTGACTGGGTAGAGAACTCTGAGGTGCGGGTATTACATGCGCAATTAAAGATTCCTCAATCACACCTTCACCAATCCAGGTGTACAAATTTCATTAAGTTTTGTGTGATTTCCGTGACTGCAACAGCCTTCAAAGTAAGCCATGTACGCCAGGTTCCTCGCTTAACGCCGTGTGTTTACCTCGCGTGGGCCAGACTACCATACCTGGCTACATCGGGTTTTCCTTACACTTGATTCACACGAATATATAGAAAGGTGCTATTCGTCTAAGGCCCCGCAATTCAGTTTGCAGAGTTGCGTCCCTTAGGCTTGCCAGAATCCTATAAACGTTGGTTCGGATCCCAGACCCGTCCAGAGTTTGACTCTTGGTTTGTCAGCACCAACTCGTGCTCGTAGGTTTCACCAAACTGGTAAATATCTAAGACCTGCATCATTTCGGGTTTTCCACAAGTTGACACACCGTGATATAACTGTAATGGTGTTCGAAGCGGCGTAAAACTAAATTCACTCACACTACGTGAGTATACTGTTATGATTGAACACTGTTTAAGTCGGCTGTGAAGTTTCGGATTCGAATTGCTGTTATATCTGGACCGCCGCCGTGGTCTAGTGGTAGAGCGTCCGCCCGAGAGCGGATGGTCCCGGGTTCGATCCCCGGTCGCGTCATACCAAAAGATGTTAACAGATGGTACTTGTTGTTGTCCTGTCTGGCGTTCGGCATTACGTGGCTAAACAAGGACTGGTCGGCTCGGAGTCAGTACACTGTGTCTGAGTGGGGTATTCCTGTTAAACTGCAGCATGGTATCTCAGTGGGCTAGTACTATATAATCGGAATTAGTCCGGTCTAGTACAAGCAGCCACCCACACACACACGCACACACACACACACACACACACACACACACACACACACACACACACACACACACACACACACGTGCATGCACGTACAAGCACGTACAAGTACAATAATCTTGGACGCGACGCTTAACCCCATTTCACCTCACCTCCGTTATATCTTTCATAGATAAATCGCAACGTGTCAGTTTCGGGGAGGAGAGAGAGTGCAGTTCTGTAATATACGCTGAAAAAAAGGGGATCGTTCATATTTTGGGGGATATTTTATGAAACTGTGTGCTCAGTCTTCACTACAAAAAATATTCCAACAACTATGAATGATCCCTACCATTTATATTTAGTATTGAAAGGAGCCCAGAGAAAAAATGGCATCACTTTAAGAACTGGAGAAATCTAGACTTGCTGAAGTAGTGTAGACTTGCTTTGGAATATTTGTGTATATATTTGTATCAGTGTCTGTAGGGTAGATTATGTAGTGCCATGATCATAGAATTGTCGTGCCACTTATCTTCGTGTTTCCTATTCATCCATGCCACGAATGAGCTAAATGAGGGTTTCAGTTATTTTGTCTTTGGGGCATAGATTTTCTCAAACCATACTCATGTTGCAATGCGGCCAAATATCATATCAGCTTGCACAAACTTTGCCAAAACCTTGAGTCAAGGTCAACAACGTCGCTAATGACATGACATCCTGGTGTTGTGTTCATTTCTGTCTCTTTCGTCCTCTGACCGCGCTGCCGTGTGCGACGTCGAGACGTGATCTCACCACCACGTCTCCCATGTCAACGCCGCCCCAGGGAGGTGAGCATTTCTCGGCTGAAATAATTTTCAATCACTTCAACCCGTGAGGTCGACATTTAAACCAACTATTTGACTCTATCTGATTCCCCCGCTGACATCAATCTCACATCGACATGAATACCAGCGATGACGTTAACATCAGCACTGCCACAGAACGGGACATAATTCTCGGCTTTTTAATCCCTCCTGCAGGGGAGATCGCGATTACTGAATCAGGGAACCAATGATTCACCGGCCCACGCGTTTAAACAATACATTCATTAAAACGTGACCGACCATGGCGTATATCGCAACATCGACATATCCGATTGACCGTCGGTTGCTTCTGACAAATGCACACGAGGAATTCACGAGAAGCAACGAGACATCACGCGATTTCTTATTATGTCTAGTCTACGACAACCACAAAAAAACATAACTCAACGCGAAGATGCATTGCATTTTAATTGTTCCACCTTCATCTGTGGGTAAACTTTCGCCTTGGCATGCGTGAGAACAAAGTTTACCATGTCTCTACATCTAAGGCTAAGGTAGATCCTTTAACGCTAAGGATTCATTCAAATAATTGTATTTGTTGCGTCATGTATATGTATTCAGACATTCGGTGTCCATGAATCGGCAGCTTCATTGTTCTTGTAATATGATACTATTTATAGGACGCTGGCTCAGACTACCCGCCATTAATATTAGGACAAACTACAATAGCATTGAAATCAGATAGCGAGAGTGTTATGGCTTGGATTAAGTCGTGCTTACTGTATTACAGCTTAGAATACCAACTGTGCTATTAATACAGTTTTTTTAAATTTTGGATACCTTTGGATGTCGACGATCCTTAGATACTTAGATAACCGAGACCGCTGAGACGATGCAACCAAGTGGTTGAATTAAAAAAAAATATGTCTTGGCATCATATGTCTGTTATATGTTGGTCAGACCAACATGTTATAAACTGCCTGGGCACCGTTCCACAAAGCGATTTTAGCGCTATGATTGTCGTAAGCCAGTGTTAAAGTATGGGAGTTACGATCACCTAAGCGCTAAGATGGAAAGAAGTATATACATGTGCTTAAAATTTTGATTCGACAAAAAACATTTACAGGCTGAAAAAAGTCGCCGAAACATGGCAAACTTAAGGTCCAAAACACAACTATGATAACTCTATCAAATATATTACTCTAAGGGTAAAGCTTTTTTCCAGGGCATTATCATTTGCAGAAGCCCGAGGTCTTCCATTAACTGTCCGACGAAGGGGAGCAGTTAAAAAGACCGGGGGCTTCTGCAAATGATAATGCCCTGAAAAATAGCGTTACCGTTATTATAGCTAAAATGGATAGAATTTGTTATAAAATAAAAATAAACAATATCGGTTTTTAGTGCAATCAACACGAATTTCACTGACCCACTTTTACAAATATGGAAACGTCATAGAACAAACCAGATGACGTCACTATTCAACGTGATGTCACCTTTCCCTATCCCTATGACGTCACCTAACAACGAGCGTGATAAGAGCCCGTCGTCAAGCAATATGAGGGCATTATCAAGTTACACTGACCCGCTCATTTCTGATAACATGCGGGCGGTTTAATGATAATTCTATCAATTTTAGCTTTAACACCGAATAACCATTTCTTGTATATTCTCTTTTGGCCGGCAGTTTAGTTAAGATCAGTATTACCAGATTAAATGTAAAAAGAATCACTGTTTGGTACGGAACGGAGATGGGTCTGAATTGTCCTTATGGGTGAAATTGGGGTTAACGTCGCGTCCAAGATTATTGCACTTATATAGCGACGTGCATGCACGTGTGTGTGGCTGCTTGTACTAGTCCGGACTGATGCCGATTTATAGTGCTAGCAAACTGACATACTACCCCGCAGTTTAACATGAATACCCCACTCAGACACAGTATACTGACTCCGAGCCGACCAGTCCTTGTTTTAGCCCCTTAATGCCGAGCGTCAGACAGGGTAACAACAAGTACCATCTTTTAACGTCTTTTGGTATGACCTTCCCAGGACCGTCCGCTCTCCAGGTGGACGCTCTACCACTAGACCACGGAGGCGGTTGTCCTTACGGATTGAAAAGAAAATTATAATTTGAAATGTATCACTTGTTTTGTATGAACGGTGTTATATGTGCGTGGGTGAGTGAGTTTGGATGGGCGTCGCTTTTAGTAAGATCCAGCCTCATAAAGGCTGGGGCACCAAGGTTTTTGGATACACACCTTGTTACCATGATGGGATTCGAACCCGGGTGTTCCCAAGTCGATCCCGAGTTCAGACCGCGAGGCTACCCCACCGACCTATACGACGCTATAAGGCTTATGGTTGTGTTTTGTCGTTATTCGTGGTTACGTGAATAAGGTGTATCGAATAAGGAAGTTATAATTTCTTTGACACACACAGTCATATTTCATTGGCATTAAGCGTTCTCCGTTCACGTTTGATGTGAAACTATAAATACTATTTATCAACAAAAACGTTTTAGGATTATGATACACATTGGTTATTAAGATAGAAAATATCCATTTCTTAACATAAATGTGTATTACTATATAACCATGCCCTCTCGGCTGATGCTGGACTTAAAGTTTAAATACGTTATATATGCTGATCCCAATAGATTTGATTGACTGAAGGTACATATCGAAGAAATGTGTTTATTTTGTCTTCTATAAATATTTAGTAGGGCTCACAGCACACAGATCGGTGTCCGTGGGTATTGACAAACGCATGTCGCCGTGCGGTGTAAACATGTCTAGAGTTACCCGCCCTTGTGAACTAAAATCCGGAAAGAATTATACGCGTGAAAAACGGCGTGGAAACAAGAAACGAAATTGAGTTTCTTCGACCTTACATTTTATGATGATGCATGTTCTCTTCTTTTCTTTTCTTCAAATGCTTACCATGACTGTGTTTGTTTCAGTGTGCACTACCAATGGCCCACTTGGTATGATCACGGGGACCATCAAGGACTGGCAGATCTCTGCGTCGTCCGTGTACCCGCAGGAGTGGGATCGGGGGTGCAACGAGAAGTACGCGCGGGTGTATCTACCCAACAAACTCGGGTGGTGCGCCAAGTACAAGTCATCGTCAGAATGGCTGCAAGTCGACATGGGAGTTGCGGCACGGGTGAGTTAAAACAAAAAGAATCATGGTTTAATCAATGTGGACAACAACAACAACAACAACAATAACAATAATAATAGTAATAATACGTCACTGAGGCGACATTGTATATTTTTGAAAGTATTGCCTCTGAAGTTATTATTATTTTTAAATAATAATAGTAATAATAATAATGATAATAATAATAATAATAATAATAATAATCATCATCATCATCATAATAACGCACTAATTATGATGATGATGATGATGATGATGTTTCATATACATCAACAATACAGTTTATCACGTTTTCTTAACATTCATATTTGGGGGGGGACTTAACAGTTGACAAAAAGACGTCAGAGTTGGTAAATGTTTGCCAGTTAAAGGGTTAAATCTAATTTGCAATGGGTGCTCTGTTAGTTTAAAGAGTTGGATTTTTTCCACGAGCTGGGTCGAGTGTAGGGAGAAAGGTATTTTAGCTCAAGACATGCTCTCTATTGATTCTGTGTAAATAAAGAAAACGATCTACACAAGCAGATGTGATAGATATTGTCGGGGCATAACCTTCCTACATTTATAAACGAGTCAGTTCGCCTCCAAAAAAACTACCATGTTGTCTTGTTCGTTGAAGTATGTATAACAGGGCTGTAAAATGTGTTTTTACTTCTCACCTCAACCACACATTGCTGACAAACCGTATTTGTCAATGCGTTTGTTTACCTCAACGTTAGGTACATTTAATGATTCTTCACGTAAGCACAACCCTCAATGGCGCTGCGCAAGGGGTTCGTTTACACCGGTCGTGGCATATCTGATTGGTTAAACACCTGGCTAAATACCGTCCTTTCACAAATGACGAACAGTCAATTAAAGCCGAATAAATACAACATGCTCGAGAACGTGTCATTTAACACAGCCAGCAGCAATATCATAGACGAAATATAAGGGGTGTTATTTCAGTATCTTGGGTAATACGATGTCATCCTTGCTGGAGTGTGTGTCGACTTGCGTTGGCTTGACTTCATCGGATGGTTCACACTGACAAATATACCACCGAGTGCACCTGATGCGCCCTAGACAATTTTAAGTGCCATACACCTCGATAACCGCCTGCAATGCGCTTTCTTTCAAGTGGACACCGGATCTCCTTTTTTGTCCCTTATCACTGCCAAACTTTTACATATCCATCCGCGCGTTCGATGTACAACATAGTGCTGCCGTGCGGATTAATACATGCTTGTTTAATTTTACCTGCCTCGTTGAATAATTTGAAAGCCCCGGAGTTTCATATTTATCTGTCGGCCCCTCTCTTTCTGGTCCTGGGTATCAATTTACCACCCAGTTACATTAAGGTCGGGTAAATATAGAACGCATTGCTGAATAGGGCTGTAGAATTTTGTGAACACTCGGAAGCGTCCAGTACATCGTATGCAGACGTAAATCTAAGTCAACAGCTCCGGCAATACAAAACTACAACTACGATGTGGAATGTATAAAAAAATGTGTTTAAATGTTTGTAGTCTCAAATCAATTTCAGCTTTAACATCAAAGCGTGTTGATAAATATCTTGTTTTTAAGACGACGGGATGCACCTTTTCACACATCATGTGAAATGCATAAATATTTATCCAGGCAATTTTAAAATTTGTAAAGCTTCTTTTCGTTTTGGTGGTTTAAATGGTTTGTCTTTTATAAGAGTGAGACCTTGCTTTATGGCTTCACTGACTTCTCAGAACAAGTGAACATGGCGCCATTCGAGATTCCTATTTTTCAGAAGGATTTAATAAACGTTGTGTTGTTATTTAATTCTTGAAGTAAACATCTCCTTGTGTTTTTAAAGCTTGTATGCTGTAAAGATTGTTCAGTCGTAGAATGTTGTCATTTTATATTGTTGTAAGAAACATTGAGTGATGCACGCCATGTGTGAGAGTGGAGCCTCAGAGGATTTAGATGTAAAATGCGACTTAATTAGCAAATGATTCTAAACCACCTATAAGTTGATGCCCCGAGTTCGAGGAGACCATGCAGAATGTCCGTGTAAGGAGCTGACGTCATCGAAATACTTGACTGAAGATACTAGAACGGGTAGAATGCATTCATTCTAACTCATGGCATTCCGGGACAAGCCGAATGGCCGTCCTTACAGGTCACGGAAAGATACGAAGTGGCGAATGGAGCCGAGTCCTCTAGCTGTTTCCGTAACCGCCATTCGGCATGTCCTTGACGGACAGGCGTGTTTCATGATTGGCATGACTGAAATATGTCAAAATAATCGAGTTTATTTCTCAGCATCGTATTATGGAGAAGAAATATGCATTAATAGTTCATTATGCAAAATTCTTCTGAAAGTATGTTACCTTATGTTGATTGTGAGTTATCTCCCTTGAAGGCAACAATGGCCGCCAATGCTGCCATTAACTTTCAGTGACAATGTTCAGTGTATGAAGGAAAAAACTATTAAACTGTGTACTTGTCGTTAACATCGCCTCATCTTGAACAACAACTCCAACGATAGTTTGTGCGCAGCTCGAGTTTGCTCCCTTCTTGTGTTTGCCATTAAGGGACGTGAAGGGGCCAACGGTTATGCTAGTTATTACTCGAGTTAAAACCAGTTCTCACGGAGGCGGTTCTCGTGTACCCGACAATGACCCAATGTCACGTGATGTGGTAGTCACTTGAAGTTTTTAAACCCAAACTGGTTACATGTAGATTATGTTCTCTTATGAAAAAAACACAAAGATTAGAGGGCTTGGACTATTGCCTTCAGTCGGCAAAACAGTGACATCGATAGCACTGAATTCACTTCAGGAGTGATCGGATTACATTCAGAACATATCGAGTGTTTCCGTGAAATACGACAGTTTCGGTTTTTTAATAGAATTTGAGTTTCAGGGTAAGAATTTGACGTATTCCATACAAATACACATATGTGTGTACTCACAATCCATCATTTGTTTGTTGCTTATGGGTTTATTTACATAATTAAATGTTTGTTTTTTTGGCTATAGTTACGCCCTTCTTATTGACAACGAGCTGAAAAGCTAATAAATCAAGGTATGTCTTGGTATGCCAACCATGAAGGGTTAAATATCCAGATTCAACATATTTCACTTACATCCGAACAATAGGGAACAAGATTGATGATAAGTAGTTGTTCGGGAATACAGAAATAGTATACGAGTTGAGAGTCATACTTTCCTGACGACTTGTTAAATGGTTGGCATATTGTTGAGTTGTCGGCGTAATTCGAACCCATAATTAAGACCAGACCGATTTCTCAAAAGGGAAGCGAATTAATCTTTCAGACGTGCGATGTATGCAAGGAGACAGATGCTAAGAAGTGGTCATGATTTTCTAATCCACCATCGGTGCCAAGTTTCAACCTTTTCATGTCGACAGTGTAGATATGTATCCCGATGGCGAGGCGAGGCGAGGCTCCAACACAAAGCTACATGCCTAACACAAAGGGAAATTTGATTTCTCGTTCGTGTTCAGTAATGTATTACCATTTAATGTAAAGTATTAAGATGTAAAGTCTCATGCGACATAGTTGAGAAGTTTTTAGTTTTTTAGTTTTACGACTTGCGAAATTAACATTTTTGAAGGGAGTTAGACTCGAGCTCGGCAACTTTGCAGTCCCAACAAACGGATTAAACTCCGTCAAATTGCACTTTGTCTGCTGTGTTTATTGAACAGATTGATTTCCCTAATTTCACCAGTGTGTCTCACTTTAGAAAAAGGCATGTCATCGTATCCCAAATGTGTAGATCGTCGATGCTCATGATGTCGATCACTTGATTGTCTGATTTAGACTCGAATGTTTTCAGACCGCCGTCATATAGCTGGAATATTGCTGCGCGCGGCGTTAAACAACAAACAAACATGCATTACTACCGCACCATGCCTTTAAGAGAATATTTATTTTTTTAAACTATTCAACCTTATAGCTTATCATTTAAACTACCGCACGTTACTATAAATAACCGTCTAATGGAAATTTTTAACTTTTCCCCCTTTTCTTAAGTACACATATATATTTAAGAATTTAAAAACAAATTTGCAATTTGTAAATATTTTGGAATAAACACAAATACAGAAACACAAATAAAAGATATAATAGCTTACAAGCCACTGTCGGAGAATCTGTTTCATGTATATGCACTCATAACAAATGTGTGCAATATGCACAGCAGCACCCCATGCAGTGCAGTGTTTACATCCTAGTGTGTTGAGCTCAGCACCGACAGGCCATATATTAAATGGGCGGCGACACATTATCTGGCATTTGTACAGCATCACAGAGGGATTGTCGACGGATCATTTTTCAAAGCAAAAGTTTAAGTTGTGTTACACGTATTCGTGTACAGTGTGTCGCGTTAGTGTAGGTTAAACTTAAATGTAAGCATGCGTTGAAACTCGGAAAAGAAGTCTGGAATCTGATCGTAATCCCTTTAAGACGTTTTATAAATTTAATGTTAACACATGTCGGCAGTTAACGAACGCTCAGCAGACATTGTTTTGTTTGGGCTAAAATAGACTTTGAAGGTTTTCTATAACGTTTTTTTTTTCAGAAACGAGTATGTGATTGTTCAGTTTGAAGACACTGATAATCTTTGGTGTGATTTGAAAGTTTTATGGTGTAATGAATACATTTCTGTTGCTAGGTAACGGGAGTGATGACCCAAGGACGTGGCGATGGTCTGGAATGGGTGACGTCATTTATGGTGTCATACAGTATGGATGCCTTTCATTGGAACTACGTCACGGATAACTATGGCAACCAAAGGGTAAGAAACTTACATGCATTGCAACTATTGTTCTTTTGCCAAAAAAATCGTTTGAGAAAAAAACCAAGATAATCATGTTTCAAAGAAAGATGAAGATGTGAGCTTTTCAGACACTTTACGAGGCCGCCCTTCTAAGTATTCTGATTCACCCTCCCCCTGATATACTGCTCAAAAGAAGTAAAAGAACATCCACGCCATCACAGACTGACAATAGTAAGAAGTATGAGTGAGTGAGTTGGGTTTTACGCCGCTTTTATCACGGCGGGGAACACCAGAAATGGGCTTCACACATAGTACCCATGTTATACTCGAACCCGGACTTCTGCATGACGAGTAAACGCTTTAACCACTAGGCTTCTGGTTTTATGAAAAAAATGGATGATCTTTAACTTATTTTGAGTAGTATATATCAGAACTGGCTTGTAAAGTTATTAAAGCAGCTCCAACGCCTGACATCCATTAGGGATCGCGGGCAAAGAAACCATTTTGTAAAAACGGATAACCCCAAAACTGTAATTTGTAAACATATGAACTCAGTTTTATATGATAATAATCCAACGGTTGTCATTAACAGTAAACCCGCCATCAAGCCAGTCCACTAGAACTCCAAATGAATACACACAACAGACATAGAAAACTGTGTGAGCTTATCGCTGTAAAACGTCCTCCAACAGAAGTATTTGTCCCCACACTTGATCTCGATCGTCACCCATTTAATGACACTCATAAAGACCCAGTAGCTGAGTATCCACCTTCATGGTGTAGAACACTCTGCTACACACGTCTGTTGTTCCTCGAGAAGGCGATCATCACCCACAAGCCCTATCTCCGAATACAAGAGCCAAACATGACTTAGTTTTTACGCTCACGTGGATCCATATTATGAGAAATGGATCGATATTATGAGAAATACTTGAGAAATACAAATCCAAAATTGCCCTCTTTGTGTTAGTTTGTATTCCTCAAAGTAGAAGGCGGTAATACAACATAGCGTTAAGTACTTTTATCACAAGAAATAAAACGCCTCAAAGATACCATGGCGAATTACGTCGTAAACTATAATTCACTGAATGTAACGCAGCGCCAAAGCTATACAGAATAAAATAACAGTAACCCTTAAAAGCCTAATGCGCCACTCTCAACAATGAAGTTATTAAAACGTATTGAAATATTTTGATGAATATGATTCGTGCTTAAGCACAGATGAGTTTTCATAAAGGTTTTTAGATTAGTTGTTTTCATATAGATCGTCGTGTTTCATAGGTCATCGCTCTTTAATCATAAAAGCATTGCCTATAGAGGGCACGAAGACTTGCCAATCATTAGCAGCAGTAGTAAAGTACCTTTGAAATAGGACTGAAAGCCATTTTGCAAGGCTAGTGAGACCCAAAGAATGGTATCCTTAGAATGGGTAGGCAGGGCGTGTGCAATACGAAGTTTGATCGTCTCTGTGTTGTGGGCAGTCGAGCGTTATGCCTCGACACATACCCGGAATAGCTGCATACATAATGGACGGCGTCACTCTTATGGCGATATGTTCCAAGGCACAGTCATTGTAAAAGAAGATTGACTGGGTTTTTTTCAATTTTCCATTCGTTTGAAACGACCTGAATTATTTTGGTAACGGTAGCCCCCGTGGGAAGTCCGCTGTACCTAGGTCCCGAGTACCCCGTGTTTGTCGTAAAACCGACCTGACTTATGATGGTGTTTAAAGCGCGTTCATGGTTATTGAGCGACGTGCATGCGTGTGTGTACTAGTCCGGACTAGTCGGTTTTGTAGTGCTATCCCACTGAGACACCATGTCGCAGGATAACATGGATACCCAACTCAGACACAGTATACTGACTCCGAGCCGATCAGTCCTTGTGTTATTCCTTTAGTGACGAACGCCAGGCAGGGTAACAACAAGTACCATCTTTTAACATGTTTTGGTATGGTGCGGTCAGGGGATCGACCCACCGACCTTCCACTCTCCGGGCAGACGCTCTGTAGCTGACAACTGACTGGCGACCCGTGACGATGCGGGGTGGAATAGGTCTTCAGCAACCCATGCTTGCCGTTAAAAGCGACTATACTTGTCGTAAGAGGCGACTAACGGGATCGGGTGGTCAGGCTCGCAAACTTGGTTGATGCATGCATCGTATCCCATTTGCGTGGATCGATGCTGATGATGTCAATCACGGGATTGTCTGGTCCAGACTCGATAATTTACAGACCGCCGTCATGTGGCTGGAATATTGCTGAGTGCGGCGTTAAACAACAAACAAACAAACAAAACAAACAGACCGACGTCATATAGCTGAAATATTCCTGAATGCGGCATTAAACAACAAACAAACAAAATATGCTGTCATAAACTGACTTGCCGGACCAACAGCCAATTCATTTACAGACCGCTGTGCTTGATTATTCTCCGAAGTTAGACTAAATAAAACGTTTTAAAAAGAATCAAGTTTAATATACTGTTTGTCCGGATGTAGTGTCGTTTTTTCCCCACCGGCGTCAAATACAATTTCGTTTTGACTAGTTTCCTGTTATTCATTCACAACAATTGTTTTTAAAGCGCAAAACATCAATGGCAGGGTCTTCTCGTCGGGAAGTTAGGCACGCTTACGTACTTAGTGCACTTGACAGATCTTATCACCACTCGAGAATATCACAGAAGTCATAATTATAGTATTACCTAACAGGAATCGAGCTGTTTTGGTTGAAAGATCAAAGTTCTATACACCCCCGTTTCCTTTCCTATATTCGGCAACTTTGATAGCAGGAACGAGAAGTGGGAACGCGCCCTCATATACACAGCCACACTTTGGGGATGTTATGTAGTCGACAGAGTGGCAGTAAATTAGCGTACATAGTTTACATAGCCATCAGATTTTATTCAAATCAAATTGCTGCTGTAAGTTCGTATTCTAGCATGAACTGTCGTGATGCCTTAATACAAAAAACATTGGCGGTAGGGTAGCCCAGTGGTTAAAGCGTTCCCTTGCCACGACGAAGGCCCGGATTCGATCCCCTACATGGGTACAATGTGTAAAGCCCATTTCTGGTGCCCCCGTGCAGAGTTGCTTCCCTTTGTCGTGTCACGATCCAGTGATCATCTCCATAAAAATGTCAGTATGTTGAATTGTCGGTCTCTTGTTCTATTCTCCTTCCATCAGTCAGCTGGTGTTTAAAAACAGCCTGACGTTCATGGTTACTCGCTGAATATCGTAGTGGATTATTTTAACCAGAGCTCGAGATAAGCTGCGTATTTGCGTAAAATACGCATTAAATAGTAAGTACTGAAATACGCAAATCAAATTCTAGCGTATCAAGAACGCAACACAAACTACATATACTCTATTGAAATAAAATCAATGCGTATATTACAACTATTAGATAAAACTATTGCGTATATTACAACTGTTAGATAAAATGATTGTTTATCAGCCGATCGCAAAATTCACTAACCGAAAGTTACATTCGGAAAAGCTTGTGCGACAAACATACTGATAGATGCCAATTGAAAAGCACATCGTGCCTAGTCAATGTATCACTGATTGGTGATAAAAAAAGCGCCTTTCTTACAATACTAAGTTTTTTAAACAAAAATGGCTTCCCGGAGAGGGATCCGCAAGCAGAAGCAGATGGGTATTCTGCTATTAACATACTTTTAATGAATTACAGGGATTGTTACGAAACAGCTTAAAATACCCAAATGACAAGAAACAGGTTGGTAAAAAATGAATCCCCTCTTAAAATTGCGGATACTAATCAAACTCAAATGCTGGGTAAAAAACCTAAATTATCAAAAGTTTATCAATAGCTCTGAACCCTGGAATTTACTGTTTGTTTATTTTCCAGATCTTTGAGGGAAACACGGACTCCTTCGCTGTGAAGCATTCCTACCTGGATAAGCCAATTATTGCTCGCTTCGTTAAATTCCATACAGTTCATTGGCACAGGCACCCGAGCATGAGGGTGGAGATTATGGGATGTCAATGTAAGTATTCTCTCATACACTTCATTATATAGTAAAAGCTGCGAGAACGCCGCATTGAATACAGTGAAGTCTGTCTAAACCGGACTTCAGTAGGACCGAATGTTGCGTCCGGTTTAGACAGTTATCCGGTTTAGTCAGAGTCCGTTTTGACAGATTCCGGTGTATATGAATAGTATATTAATAATATGCGTGGAAGATTATTACATTTATAGAGTGTGTAAACTGCCGGGGAGTAGAAATATACGCTACAAATTGGCTAATGCATGTCATTGTATCCCAATTGCGTGGATCGATGCTCATGATGTCAATCACTGGATCGTCTGGTCCAGACTCGATTATTTACAGACCGCCGTCATATAGCTGGAATATTGCTGAGCGCGGCGTTAAACAACAAACAAACAAAGAAATAACAAATGTTATCAAAACGTTACCAGGCTGAAAACAGTCGACGAAACACTGCAAACTTAAGCTCAAAAACACAACTATGATACCCGTATGAAATACATCACCGTGGAATAAACATTTGTTGTTTGTTTCATTTAAGCCACCATGAAACCTTGGTGAATAATTTCATTTGTATGACCGGTATCTTCAGAATGTTCAGATTAGGTTGTACAAAACGTAATCACAATCAAAATAAAAAAATAAAAAACTGTTAAAAATACATACAAGAACAAAATACGGAAAAATGCAAACGAGTTTAAAATGAACGATTATGTACACAGGTTGAAAATAGAGTATGGTGAAATACCATACATTCACAACAAGTCCCTATTTACACAGAGGTAAGAAGGCACTACAACGTACGCTTAAAGAGCATTTCTACTAGATTACCAAGTCCACTCTCTCGTATGTTGACCTGGACACTGAATATATATGGGTGTTTGATACTGTAGGCTTAACTACTTACATACCTACATACACCATGATTCTTCAACCAACATCTGGAGGCACACGGTATCAGCAAACGTTTTTTCTGGGGGCTTTCTTTATCTGTCTCATCGCTCAGCCTTAAAAAGTACAGTGTTAATTTGGAGTGATGATCCCCTGAAGAATAGCCATGATTATAGTTGTTACCGCAGATTTGTATCTTTTACATTGGCCCGACCCCCCGGGGAAATCAACAAATGTGTTTGGCTATTTTAGGGGTAGGTTTTCAGTCCAAATTTACAAGTTTGGAATACGTAGGTTCAGTTACGGTATTAGGTGTCTCGTACAATGTAGGACGTAGACGACAACAAAGTATGATCGTAGCAACGCCAACGTTTCCATTTTTTCATTTTAGACACGTTCTTTCAGTGATGTTGATTCATGACCTTTGTCACCTTAATATGACCTCTGAACTATTGTGTATGCGCTATATCAACATCAAACTATGTAATATAAACCTTTTGGTCGTTAATCACGTCCAGAACAAAGTGATATCTTGACTGTAAATGTAGGTGTCAGGGTCACTGAGCTGTTGATAATCCGCACCACGTGAAAAATGTTAATTTTGCTTTAACCGTAATGTGTTCTGGTTATATAGTCAGGAATGGGTAGTGAATGGTTTTGGAGGAGCAAATATTGGAAATCGTTGGCAATAATGTTCTGGCTATGTGGTATGGCTGGTGTAGGCTTTAACTTTTTGTTAGGTCTAAACTATCAACAACTCCAAATGCTTGAAAGAAAAGTCATTATTTATATAAAAAAATAAAAATTAAATTAAATTATATCAATCACATTACTGTCTACCAGTTCCCAGACCTATCTACAAAACATGCATTGAAACACGTAAGCTGTGACCGCCACCGTGGTCTTGTGGTAGAGCGTCCGCCCGGAGAGCGGAAGGTCCGGGGTTCGATCCCCGGCCGCGTCATACCAAAAGACGTTAAAAGATGGTACTTGTTACCCTGTCTGGCGCTCGGCATTAAGGGGCTAAAACAAGGACTGGTCGGCTCGGAGTCAGTATACTGTGTCTGAGTGGGGTATTCATGTTAAACTGCGGCATGGTATCTCAGTGAGCTAGCTCTATAAATCGGCATCAGTCCGGAATAGTACAAGCAGCCACACACACACGTGCATGCACGTCGCTATATAAATGCAATAATCTTGGACGCGACGTTAAACCCAATTTCACCTCAACTCACCGTAAGCTGTGAGTAGGAACAGTGCACATACAATACTGATGAAAAGAAACATCCACCCGGTCGCAACACGCCCGAACATTTCGCGTTAGGGTCGCGATCTCTCCGTTTGATTAATAGCGCAAAAACAGCCCAACAATCGCGACAGTGTCGCGTAACGTTCGCGACCCATGGGCGTTTGTTTTGAGCAGTGAGCACTAAGTGCGTTCACCTCGAAGAACTGTCCAATTCTGGCTATGCCCTTTTAGGATTATATACATTTCAGTTTCACTTCCATAACGGGCCAGTTGTGTTTTAATTTACCCACGTCTCGCGAATACCTTTCTTTGACCACGTTTCCACACTTCAACCACAAGTGCAAACGACATCAAACTTTAGATACACACACATTTCAAGACGATAAACGTCTAACGAAGCTACGCCCGGCACTTGTTAATACTAAAATGGGTTATGTGAATATCTCAACTCGTTTATGTAAACACATAGTCTACTCCACCGGCATATTTCAAGAGCAGCGAGTGGAAATTGAAAAGTAGGATTTGAAATCCGAGGGATCATGTGTGCCCTGAGACCATATGCCCGTCTAGTCAGTGCATGGCTAACACGGTGATTGGTGTTTAATGGTCTCTGGAGATAGCATCACGATACAGGGTTAAATAGTTTAAGTTCTCTCTATCTGGAACAAGGTAAGGCCACAGTTTGAACTTATTTTGAGAGGGTATTGAGTTTCTAGCATTTTCTACATGATCGCATACCCAGACATTGCTTAAATGGTTTGAATAAATATACTTGAAACTCCATAGCCATAACGCTGTATGCGGAAGTGGGGCTGCATTATTTTGATATCGCCGTCTGGGAATTGAGGCATGCAGGTTAAATAGGGGCCACAGATTCGTTTGTAAGACATAATGGTGGCAAATCATTCTCCATGTCATAAGTGCACATAGATTTGCTCATACGTGGATTTTTTCTTGAGATAGGTAAACACAATATGTTGGCATAAGTTTAAAAAAAGGATAAGTGTTCTATCTTCTATACCATGGTATGCTCGGAATGCCACTATAACAGTACAAATATCGACCTGGGGTTCAGCATATGAATATGTTTACAAAAACACGTTGTTGAGAAAGGTACGTTTAAAGACTTATCTTCAAAACTATTTGGTTTTTGACTAGTGTTTTGACCGATCGTGTAATCGACATTCCTTTTCGACACGTCGATTGGAAGGTACCCGTTGATTCTATACTGACAAATGTAAAGTGTTTGATGGTGACTAAAAATGAGACAAACAAGAAACGGTAATTCGATTGTGATGTATTTGATACAGGTATCATATTTGCTTTTTGGACCTTGAGTGTGCAGTGTTTCGGCGACTGTTTTTAGCCTAGTAACGTTTTGACAACCTTTGTAATTTATTGGTTAAATCCAATTTTCAAGTATATACTTTCTTTTGCCCGTAAGTATATTTTTCAGATTCGAATTAGGGTAGTGGCTGGTGTGGTCGATACACCGGGTTCGATACCCACAAGTGTATTTTTATGGGCCCAAATGTCACAGCTCAAACTAATGCATTCGGTCCACTCGGATGAGACCTAAGTTGAGTTATCTCCCCTTTCTCTGCGGTCCCACGGCAACAGTTACTTCAAGAATGCGGCCATTTAGATATAATAAAGAACGCCTTCCATCAAAATACCCCCTGCCTCCGCAGCAGTGGTCAACGTGTATATAAGAGATACTTACCTGTGTGTTTTCCCAGGTATCCGAAGCGGGGCCATGCATCATTGTCTGCCGTACAGGTGTATAGTTGTTAATTATACATGTGCTTCTTTCTACCTGCGCAGGTTGACATTCTCGCGAGATGATGGATCTCGTAGTTTATCGTTTTATCTGCGAGGTGAACAACCTGGACATTGTCGTTAGGAAACTATAACATGGAAATATTTATCAAGGTTTCAATACGATTTGTTATTAGGATAATAGTATTTGTCATGAAAGCTATTAGCATAGCCAATAAACATGGCGGTTCTCACGTGTTGTGGTGGGGTGAGGTGAAGTGGGGTTTAACATCGCGTTCAAGATTATGCACTTATATTGCGACGTGCATGTCCTTGTTTTATTCCTTTAATAAAAGTTGCCGCTATGCAGGGTAACAACAAGTACCATATTTTACCATCTGTGGGCGTCAAAGTCCGGAATAGAACAAGCAGCCACACACACGGACATGCACTTCGCTTTTATGTGTGAAATAATATGGAGCCCGACTTCAAACTCAATTCACCTCACCTTCACGTGAAAAATATATGGAATATTATCGAGATGGTTTTTTTATCTAACCAAGCAAGCCATTTTAAGAAAAATAACTTATGCTCTTTTTCTTTTCACACAAACGATGTCTACAGTCAACATTTATAAATATACCAAGAATGCTCTGGCAATACTATTGGACTCTAATAGGTCTTCAGCAACCCATGCTTGCCCAAAGAGGCTATTATGCTTGTCGTAAGAGGCGACTAATTGGATCGGGGGTCAGGCTCGCTGACCTGGTTGATGCATGTCATCGTATCCCAATTGCGCAAAACGATGCTCATGATGTCAGCCACTGGAATGTCTGGTCCAGATTCGGTTATTTACAGACCGCCGTCGTATAGCTGGAATATTGCTCAGTGCGGCTTTAAACAACAAACAAACAAACTATAACCACATTGTAAACATAGAGTGTAAGGTATATTCAGATCTGCTAACTCAAGCAATATATGATGGCACGTGGTACATTGCAGTGTGCAAGGAATCGATCGGCCTGCCACCTTACGGAAAGATAACCGCATCCTCCAGCCGGAAGTTCCGGAAGAAGAGCTCCTGCCAACCAGAGGATGGAAATATATTCAGCAAGAAGGCGTGGTGTGCCAAGCAACAAAATGGTGAGTAGGAGGCACGTACTTCCTGTGCGATAAACATGCACTTCCTCAATTACCTACACTGCCATTAAGTCCCAGAAATAAAGTCTTATTTAAAAATATTTTTCCATGAAATAAAAAACATAAAATAAAAATGGAGCCCAGAACAATCCTTAATTTCAGAGCTGAGACATCTAGACTTGCCAAAATCATTCTTGGCTTAAGCTGGACTCCTTTTTATTTTTTCTCTAGGATCTGAGAGACTATACCCATAATACGTAAATACCAAGTTTCACACAATGGTCAAATAAATAACACTAGACATCGTGATAGCCCTGGCCGCTTTAATGATATTTACTGCATCAACTCGAGAGAGTTTTGTATTATATAAATCAATAAGTGAATATTACCCAAAATATTTTGTCATCCCATGCATAACACAAATCCTAACAAACCGCCCCCGCTTCAGCTCGAGACGATGTTGTTTTGTACAAGTAGATGTCGTTTTAACAAAGGGCACATTGTACTGTCCAAATCAAAAGCCCAAGAATGTTCAAATAGCATCCATATATAGCATGGCTGTACCTTGTACGTTGAATTGGTAACCTGCCTTAAGCAGATAAGAATGTTAATTGCATAGGCTTTGTCCCCCATTTTAGGCTTCCAAACAGATGTCGTTTTCAATTCAAAGGGGGCAATCTGAAGCTATTATTCGCTATTATATTACTCTCTTCCCTCCAGTCGGTGAATGAAACTTTCCTCGTCGGATGAGGATGTTGCACACGGAATGACTCATGCCGATATGCTATTCCAGGTCCACTTTGTATCGGAGACCATACATTAGTCGGGTCCAAGTCATATCCAGGGTCCATATCCTTTTGAAGAATGTATCTTATTCGGTATCCACAGCTTGTGGGGACAACATCGTATTTTTGGTCTATTGGTGATCTGATTGGTGGTCCATATCTTTGGGATTGGTGGTCCATATCTTTGGGATTGGTATCTTCTTCATGGTCCATATCATATCAAGATTCCTATTTATACGGTGTCCGTATTATATCTAGATCCATATTTTATTCGTGGTTCATATTTTATCTAGATTCTTATTTAGTCGGGGTCCATATTTTTATCTAGATCCGTTCGCGGTCCATATCATATCTAGGTTCCTATTTAGTCGGGGTCCATAACTTATCTAGATCCATATTTTTTTCGTGGTCCATATTTTAAATAGATTCCTATTTAGTCGGGGTCCATATTTTTATCTAGATCCATTCGTGGTCCATATCATATCTAGATTCCTATTTAGTCGTGGTCCATATTTTATTCGTGGTCCATATCTTATCTAGATTCCTATTTAGTCGGGGTCTATATCTTGTGAAGAAGATATCTTATTCGTTGTCCATAACTTTTGGAGATTCATATATTATTATTCGGGATCCATATTTTATCTGGATTCGTATCATATTCTTGGTCTACACGTTATCTAGAATCCGAATCTTCAGTCACCAATGTGGGTCATCCGTTCCCGTTTTGAGGCTGTTCTGGTATCAGGTATCACCTGAGATCATAAACCTACTATTGGCCAACTACCATTGTCCAGCATCTCATATATTTACCTAACACACCACTTATATTCCCCAACAATATTTAAATGGTTGGACAATTTCCACTTCACTAGATATTAGAAAAGATGACTATGTAAGGACCGAAGGGGGTTTGTAACGCGAGACATTACCCCCTATAAGAGTCACGGGAACAATGGCGGCTTGTCACCTATCGACGAAAAGGGGCGATGAAGAATCGGTCAATGGCGCCCTCTCATGGACACTCCTTAGTCTAAATTCATCTGTTGAGAACTATTGTCACCATCTCAGTCAAAAGGAGAAATAATTGCGGGAGATTACATTGTGAAAGGATACGCGATGCTGGCATACCCGATGCCTTGCTATATCATTTATATGATCTACAAGGAGACCTCCTCAGACCAATGTTATTACTACTTAAACAGGCTCCGAGTGTTGACTGTATCATGACCGTCGTTGGAAGCCGACTATTGTGAATTATATATGCTGTATATTCATGTAAGCTATTTCTATACAAAGAGCGCACAACCCGCCAATAAACTTATTGCACACACGTATATATAGTACAAAATTAGCCCTGTTATCATCACCGACATAAACCATGACGAGGCACAGGCTCACACTCCTGTATTCAAAACAGGCGAAGATGTAATGGAAATAGAAACAATTAAGCTTACATCGGAATAAAAAAACCTGACTGAAAGAATCAATGCCGATATAAAACGACTCACCCTCACACCACATAATCCTTCCTTGTTTACTGGGATTGTTTCAGATGTAACTTTGCGACACTTTTTGCGACATGTATTGACATTTCTGCTTGAGGGGCCTCGTTCTGGACACCTCCAGTGATACCACTGTGATTACGGACAATATTTATTGCCTCCACCAATCCAGTGTAAACGAACATAATACAATCTCAATTCGGAACATGTTTAATGTCAACATCGTGTGGAATACCAACACGTCTCACCGATGGTTTTGTTAAATTCCGAAGCACCCGATGAGATCTGGCTTCAGCGTGCTGTTGAGATATGCCCCAGGTCGCTACGTCATCATCAACGCTACCCATCTTTCACCGCCGTCGCTGCGTAATCCACTGTTATATGGTATCATAAACAATCGGGTTCCTTGATGTTAAACCTGCGTTGCCAGGCTTATGGGGTAAACGCGTGTTTTGTGTTTTAATGTGCTGGAGCACTTGGTTACCTGGCCTAGAGTCGGCCAAGGCTGCCGCGTGGTCGGCGTCGACGTTGTGGAATTTACTACGAGATCTGATGCACGTTCTTGGAAATAGAGTAAACACAATCTGATGCCAAGGATTTGAAGTCTTGCCATGTAAATTTATTTTGCCAAAGTTTCAAGAGTCAAGGTTGTTAATTGTATAGTCTTGTATAGTATATACTACTCAAAAGAAGTAGAAGACTCTTGATTATTTCATATTACTATGGTTAATTTGTCATGCCATGAAAAGAATCGGATATTCTTTAACTTCTATTGAGTAGAATACATGGTTAAGTTTCAAGTGTCTGGGTTGTTATTTGTATTGTGTTGTACAGAGTTCGGTGTTAACACGGGAATCCTAAGTTCTGTGAGTTGAGTTGAGTTTTATGTCATTTTAACTTCAATACTTCCCCACTCTCTTTTTGTTTTAAAGAGTGAGGTGTTTCGTTGTCAAAAAGACAATAATCGGAACTTAGGAGTCCTGTGGTGCCACAGTCAAATAACAGCTAAAGCGGTAAATCTTCACGTCGGAGTCCCAGGTTTGATTCCCACAAAGGCAATAATGTATGACCCACCCTTGGTGCCACCATCGTTCTCCTAGCTGGAATAGTGCGGCGTAAAACAATACTCGCTGAGTCTTATTCTCACAGTAGCCGCGTAGCCTGGTAGACTAAGTGTGTTTCGTCACGCCGGAGACCCGGGATCGATTCCTATATGAGTCTGATGCCAAGCCCATTCTTCTTCCCCGTAATGCGACCGCCTCCGTGGTCTAGTGGTAGAGCGTCCGCCCGGAGAGCGGAAGGTCCGGGGTTCGATCCCCGGCCGCGTCATACCAAAAGACGTTAAAAGATGGTACTTGTTGTTACCCTGTCTGGCGCTAGGCATTAAGGGGCTAAAACAAGAACTGGTCGGCTCGGAGTCGGTATACTGCGGCATGGTATCTTAGTGAGCTAGCACTATAAATCGGCATCAGTCCGGACTAGTACAAGCAGCCACACAAACACACACACGTACATGCACGTCGCTATATATGTGGAATAATCTTGGACGCGACGTTAAACCCCATTTCACCTCACCTCTTCCCCGTAATGCAGTTGGAATTATATGCGGAGTGAACCCAACTCACTCACTAACTTCAATAACCCTGTTCTGCGTGGTATCTATGACAGATGTCGGCCTACACGACACTTAGATCCACCCACAGCTACAGAAACAAATACTTTTACGGAAACCGATCTCCCTACTTGGTATCCGTATGTCGGGGCGAGATTTCAACACTTGTGCATGATTCAGCCAAACAGTGTTGAACAATAGCAGCGAAAGGTGACCAGCGTTAAGTCCAAGCATATCGTATACATGGCGGTAAATATAACCAAACTGCCAATACAAATGTTTTTCTTCTCCCATATACACATATTTACCGCAGCTGATCCATTTACCTGATAAATGATAAATTATTCGGCGTTACCATAAGTATATAAACATAATAATAAGTACTTCATTTAATTCGCCACACTTATAGGCACGGCAAATATGACCTGGTATTTATTTACAAAACACGGTGTTTGGTCACGCAGCAGTGGTCGGAACATGATCAAATCCCAGGCCAAGTCATTGTGGGGCATTTATCCACATTAATTATGCGCAATTCCCATGTGACCGTCTTTGTCGCTACTAATCTGGCATCTACTAAAGAGTTGAAAGCCCCGACTGTCGCTGACGAGTGTGGATCCCACGCCCTACGCTTCAAATGCCTGACATATTAAAAGTCAAAACTCCTTTATGCGCCATGTCAGCTTCCAGTGTCACTATCATCCGTGAGCTCTCGTATAGGCATTGTAACCACTTTGATATATTGGCCTCTCGAAGCTTGTTGCCAGTGGATTTCAATAGATGGGGTATCTGAAGAGTAGGCCTTAGTCACTGTGGAGTCCCGCTCTACTGCTCGTCAATGTATCTCCGTGGTTCACAGAAAGAAAGTGTGTCTCGACCGTCTGTGGTATGTTGGGATTTTAACGTAGATTCTAATCGCTACCCTGTACCTGTATAGAGAGGGGGGGGGGGGGGGAAAGATGTAGTGGTACGTGAGTGACTAGGTTTGGTTGGTCGTGATAGACGCCGTCTTATAAATGCCAAAGACAATGTATCTGTTTTTCACCTTCTGAAAAGGGATGACTTGTTTTACGCTATTTTCAAGCATTATCACGTCGAGGGACAAAAAATAGGCTTCACACATTGTACCCAATGGGATTCGAACCCGTGACGATCGAACGCTTTAACCTCTAGGCCATCCAGCGATCCGACTAGTGGTTCAACGAGGCTGCACTTCAAACCCTGTTTGCAGGAATGCAGACTGCATTAACACCGACCAACTAACCAAGCACAGTGTCAATGTGTGGGTAGCGAGCACACCTAGACGAGCTTAACCTTTTGTCCGCTATGAATGTAAATGTTGCAATCTAATTGTCTTTAGTTGGCCACGAGTTCCATCAACCTATCAAAGAACAATAGCGGCATTGTTGCATCCCCCACCGTCCTCCGTGGCATCCCCCACCATCCTCCGTGGCATGTTGGGCGTGTCCCCTCGCCGACAGGTCTCACACTTCAACCGAGTTGATCCGCCATTATTACATTGTACTTCCCGCATGACTGATTTTGCAACGCGTGTTTTTATCACAACGTGACAGCATGAATACCAAACATCTCGCCTGTCCCAACCTGGCTTAACCCGCGAGCTCTCAGTGTTAAATCTGTTACAGTAACCACACGCAAGCTCGCTCTGGTGTTATTTTGATACTGCTTTTGGAAAAAAAAATTCAATTTTCAAATATTTGTTGTATGGAAAGTAGTATTTGTAATGGCCTCCGGGCTTTAATCCGTTTAATGGCGGGACTTTTCTACCTGTGATTTTATTGCCCCGAGATTGGGACAAGAGTCATCATTTATGACCCTCCGTGACTCTGGGCTTGAGAGGACATGGGCTAAAAATCCCGCACGATGTCAACGTCTGTCAGGAGTCTTATTCGTAGTCGCCTTCCCTGTAGACGTGTTGATATATGTATGTGTGAGCTTCCTTCATGGGCTAGACCCAAGCACCGCTCCCATCCCCATGTCTCTTGTATAATATACCTTGCCAATAAATAATATCTATATCGTCCAGGCGTTTCAGCTGAAAAAACAATTATTTGCACCAAAACATGAATATGTGACCATTTGCATTTAGCAGTTGTTTTGAAATTACTGCATTTCAAATTTACAAACTGGTAGAAAATTAAATCCAATTTGATCAGTTTCTGGTGTACGTTCGGCTTTCTTTCCATGAGTGAGCGAGTTAAAATTAAAAGTCACATTGGCAATATTTCTGCCACATTGTGTTTGTTGTTTTACGCCACACTCAGCAATATTACAGCAATATGACGTCGGTCTGTAAATACGAGTCTGGACCAGACAATCTAGTGATTACATCATGAGCTTCGATCCATGCAGTTGGGACACGATGACATGCATCAACCAGGTCAGCGAGCCTGGCCACCCGATCCCGTTAGTCGCCACCTACTAAAAGCATGGGTTGCGAAGTCCAATTCGAACTCAGATGTTCACGGGATGTGTGTGTAGGGGGGGTGTGGGGGGGGGGGGGTGGTGGGGGGGGGGGGGGGGGGGGGGGGGCATTGGCGTATGTTTGGTGAACCAGTGGTGAATACCATGAGCACCGACTCACGTCGTGGTGCTTTAGTTTCGTTATTGCTCACCGAGACGTTTAACAACATTCCCACCACTGATGTTTCCCGGGTTGCATCAGAACCGAACACATCATCAACCTCACGGCATGCGTCTTGTTCGTTTCAGACAAGCAATGGCTCCAGCTGGACGTGGGTCCCCCAACCCTGGTGACGGGGGTGATCATTAAGGGGAGGGGAGATACGAAGAGGAGTCACTGGGTGGAAAGGTTTAAGGTCTCTTACAGCAACGATACACAAGTGTGGTACTTCTACAAAGACGCTGACCACCTCGACCCTAAGGTAGGAGGAATCACATGAATATTGGTGTTGAAAAATTGAGTGTTGAGTGAAAATGTGAGGTGATTGTGTTCTCGACTTGAGTATAATACGGATGTAGTGACTCTCTATAACCCTAATATGTGATCCTTTTGAAAGGTCATCTGTTCTATCCTGTTAATGTTTCAATTAGCAAATATTTTCAATCTGAATCTTCTGTTTCTTCAGGAAAAAAACTTTAACCAGTTCTTGAATGTAGATTCTTTTTATAATGATACCATTGCATAAACACGTATCACTGTTCAATGTTAAACAATATCCATACCATTGCCCAACTCCAGCCATCTTTCTAAGTCGGGCAATTTAATTCATACCTGATGATGAACGGAGTCCTCGTTGCCAGTTTAACATTTATTGACAAACAAAATGAACCTATTTTACTGTGGTGACACTAAACCAATTCTTAAAATATCAGTTTACATATGATTACATGATTATATTTCCGAAGGTTAACATTTAGGTCTTTAGGTCCTTACGTAACAATGCAGTTGATGTTTCGATGTTGCGTCCAAGACATTTCAGAAGCAGTCCGATTCTTCAGATTTGTCTCTGTAACATAACAGTCGCTTTATGGCTGAAGTTATGCCAATGCGACGTTAAATTGTAACTGGTAATATAACAAACCAAAACATCTTGACTAAACACTGTGATGTAAATTGAAGATTTGAATATTGGCAAAAGAATTTATATTTGGCCACAAAAAGGTCATGTTGCACCTTTTGTGTCCTGAAACCAGTTCTCCCCTAATACCATGATATGTAGTGGTTCTACAAGCTCCTTCCCAGCGCGTGACACCTTTAGTTACACTCTCGGTAACATCCTGCCACCAGCGTGGGCGCGGCCATTACAAGAATCTTGAAATTTGGCCTCTAACCCCAAATGTTGTAACGTTCATACTTTTGTCTTTGGGAATGCCATCATAGTGAATTTTGAAAAGGTTTACGACTGACCATGTTTTCCAGATAAATTTACTTTGTCGTCTGTATAATCAGATTGGTTCGAGATTGCGGACTAACGGAAAATCAACCAACTTCTCCCTTACATTCTTACTATATCAATAACATGATAGTTTTAATGAAATAGAAATTCAAATTGTCAAACAAAGAAAGTAATTTAGCAGGGGTAAGTGTATTCGGGTGTCACGACAGTCGTTACTTGTTTGTAAACATAACGGTCAATCGGTTGCGAGTTCAACTCCAAGCATGGTTGTGGCCACCTATCACAGTGGGGAGTTTTGACTGGTGGCAGCGATAGTATAGGGAGCTCCGCGAACGGGCTATCGCTGTAAGGAGCTTGGTGGTTCTAGAGTACATATTCTTCCTGTACAAGTGGTCACTGATTCAAGGTATTAGGGTTGGTGTGACAGACCCGCCCCACCACCAAGCCCTGCTGTTAAACTGTATGGAAACCTGATCCATAAACACACAGCGGTATTTCCCTCCCAATACTCGCTGTTTACACGTTATATACAGAAACCTACACATCGCTATAGACTCGTTCAATACGGGAGGTCATACAACGTGATCAGTCCGGTATACTGGCCTCAGCCCGCCACTAACGACAGTGGTCATGCCCTTAAAGCCAATTAACTGAACTTACTTCGAAGGTTGAATTTCCCAGAGGTGTTAGGTACTATTCATGAGATCCAATAGGAATACCTCGATTGAACACAGGACACTAATTTCTGAATACTGTGTTTTCCTGGCATTGTTAGCACACGCAGTGGTGTAACATGCCGATGTCCCATCCTAACCATATGTCTGTATGTCTTCTGTACAGCCGTTTAAGGACGCCACTATTCTACTATAATCTGCCGTTAGGCAAATACTAGCGTTCGCGGTAAAAACATTGTGCTACAGGTCTAAGGCTTTCTCATCCTTTCAAAAGAGGCGTTCTGATTGCACCTCATGACATGGTCCGTATAAGTGAAACACGTTCTTCAGCTATTTGTTAAAGCAAATATTGAATTGACAATGTAATGTTTTTTTAAATATTACAGAATTTTTGTAATGTCACTGAGATATAATGTGTTTTTATTAAGAGGTTATTTGCAAACTCGACAATTTCTCTTAAGCCTTAGACGTAAGAACGTCTGTCATGCTCTGTGACTGAATATAATAACAAAATTGTCACTTTCTTTAGATGTGTTTGTTGTTCATCTGTCTAGGTTCAATATGTTTTTTTATTAACATGACATTCCCCTACAGACAACCACAAATATATTACATGTCATATATTCTTTTCTTTCCATTCTCTAACCTCCATTTCAGTTTCATTACAGCGTTGTGCAGCTATAGCGAACCAATTCAGTATACTATCTACTGACGACTAAACACAGGTTACTTTAAAACTAGAGCTTCTGATGACGTCACGCATTATGTAGACAGCACTAGCTTAACCTGAATACATTCTGTAGGAGTCATATCTATCGCCACATAGAATACTTGCCACTGCTTAATAAAACAATAATATATCTTTTTCAGAGTCCATTGGGTGGGTGGGGTCACGTGATGGAAGTGCGTGAATGTGCGTGAAAAAGTGTGATAACGTTACATTATTTAGACATTATTTATTTAGTCTTAGTCATCATCATTATCATACATCATCATTATCATGATCACGATGTCATTGAATCCTTCTAGTCGCCTTATTAGGTAGAATATTAACCCATTTTGACATCTTGGAATCCACTAAGCCTGTAGGCGCTTCATTTTCTAAAACACTCAAGACTAGTGTTTGAAAGAGTGAGACTGCGCATGCCTGAACCAAGTTAAGATTGTAGAGTCCCAATGCTTTTACAGGTTTTTAACCAAACTGACTTCAACTACAAACAGTTTTGTTCACCATCGCCCGGATGTACTCTTCCAGCTAGGATTACCTCCCTTTTCGTAGTGTCCAGGTTCCCGCCAATTGGTGCGCCACCGGAAGTACTGTGTACACCCAGCCGGAAGTATTGTGTACGTCTCACCGGAAGTACCTGTGTACGTGCCGTCGAGGAGGAATATGCAACTACTACTACTACTTCTTCCGTGATTAACCGCTCTCAACCTTCATTTTGTAGAGTCGATGGTTGTGGAGTCCACCGTCTAATACATCTACTTCGCATTTAATCCCTGACAAATACTCGGAGGAAGGCCTGGTAAGCACTAACTCAGGGGCCCGGTCTCAGCCGATACCCGACATCCTGGCCTCTCGTTGTGGCTAAAACGGGCTTCCGTACAAATGATCTCAACAGTAACAATCTTGTTTACAATTAACTGTAACACTGTTATTATTCAAATGCATCAAGAGGGCGTAGTTTGGGTAACAGAAGACCATGCAGGTCTAAGTAAATGGCGAAGCCATGCTTTTTTTGTTCGTTTTGTATTTTCTTTCTGACAAATGTAGGACACTGTGTATCGATACAAAATATTCCTTTTTGACAGAATAGTTATAGCAATAGCTAGCCGTGATTGTTTCTCGTGGAATGGTATCTCGTGGGCATGTTCGTGGCATGGTTTCTATGTCTTGTAGTGAACTCCGATCTATTTTGGATGTGCATCGTGTATGGCAACACGTTTCGGCCAAAATCTCAATGTCAATTTTTCGTCATAGCGTCAACATCTTTATAACAAATGCATGATTAGGACTCTTTTTATTTGTAACTTTTCTTAAGTATAAGGAGAGCACAGGGTACTTTTTTTCATATATTTTTTCTTCTGTTTTCTTTGTTACAAGGTCGTAGGTCGTATAATGAACGAAGCCAGGATGTGACTTGGGTGGCCTGTGTTACGCTTAACGTACTCTTGATGTTGTTGATCTAAAAGCCTGCTCTTTCTGATGTAACGAGCTTTCTTAATTGAGTTATGCATTAAGATATTAATTAATATGAATGAAATACCTTTTATCATAATCTGCTTGTTTTCTGCATTGAGTCTCTCTACGACAATGCCGTTTGACATAAAATATGCATGTTGTATTGCAATCAGCACGATCTTCACTTTAATAGTTTGATGTTATGCATGTGTGCCTTGATTTAATAGCATGAGTTGATTTCATCTGAATACTCATTGCATGATGTTCTCTCCACCACTGAAGAGCGCTTTCAGATGTTTGAGCAGAGTAATCTCCCTTTAAAACGTTTGATATTCAAATTTGAAAAAAAGAAAAACATTTATTTTGACGCCTTGTATCATCTTCGCGAGGCAAGGGTGTCCATAGCCTGTATTAAAGTTTATAACTAACTTTGATATTGGCTTGTAGACACACTTGCCTCGGGAAGATGTCATGTATAGGGCGTGCATTAATATACATTCGAAATTCAATTTATATCAAGGGAGATTACTCTAACATTGCACCTGACTCTTATCCTTCAGGCTCTATCACTTCCACTGATCACTCACGAACACTTTCACATTAACGAGCTAACGTTTCCACTCACTTTGTAAACTGCATGCATGCAGCCCACTTATATTAATTAACACCTCTGTACTCAACACAACACAACAGATTGGACTGACTGCAAGCCTCCGTCCCAGCACACAACATCACATCCCACAACCCCCTGCGGCACGTGACTGTCCACGTGACTTCCTGCTCTTCCTGTTCCCCCCACCACACGTTTGTCACCCCCTGGCACCATCTTCACGAGTCGTGGGTCGGTGGCCGCGGCATGTGGTGATGACACCCGTAGGCATGGCTAGCCAGGATGTAGATGGCGCACCTTCACGACAGCGTAGGTCACGTAGTGACGTCACACTTTCATGTGTAGTAGCCTCGACGCTTATCATATAAGTTGATCTGTTTTGCTTTTGAACAGCTGTTTGGGGGCAACTCCGACAAAAACACAGACAGGACGCATTTCCTCAACTCGCCGTTCGTGTCCCGGTTCGTGAGGTTTCATCCAATGGAATGGCATGGGAAGATTAGTATGAGAGTCGGACTTCTTGGTTGTCCGTACACAGGTGAGTTGGAGGTTAGGGTACCCCGGGTAGATGTCAAGGGTAGATGTCATAATGCTGTTTCTCCCCAGTCCTACGTGATGAAAACCTCTTTGTGACTCTCGTCGTCTTATTGCAGTTTGATAACACAAAGACGTGTAGGCATAATTTAAAAGGGTTATATAAAGACAATTACAAGATTAAGGTCATTTGTGACTTTAGTTGGAGGCATGACTAGGTCAGTATGGATAATCACGTGAGCTGATATAACCAGATAGATATAAAGTAGCTCCAGATCAGTGAAAGGCATGATGAGATGAGAACCAATAACCCCCTGACAAATAGCAGATATAACCAGATAGATATAAAGTAGCTCCAGATCAGTGAAAGGCATGATGAGATGAGAACCAATAACCCCCTGACAAATAGCAGATATAACCAGATAGATATAAAGTAGCTCCAGATCAGTGAAAGGCATGCTGAGATGAGAACCAATAACCCCCTGACAAATAGCAGATATAACCAGATAGATATAAAGTAGCTCCAGATCAGTGAAAGGCATGATGAGATGAGAACCAATAACCCCCTGACAAATAGCAGATATAACCAGATAGATATAAAGTAGCTCCAGATCAGTGAAAGGCGTGATGAGATAAGAACCAATAACCCCCTGACAAATAGCAGATATAACCAGATAGATATAAAGTAGCTCCAGATCAGTGAAAGGCATGATGAGATGAGAACCAATAACCCCCTGACAAATAGCATATATAACCAGATAGATATAAAGTAGCTCCAGATCAGTGAAAGGCATGATGAGATGAGAACCAATAACCCCCTGACAAATAGCAGATATAACCAGATAGATATAAAGTAGCTCCAGATCAGTGAAAGGCATGATGAGATGAGAACCAATAACCCCCTGACAAATAGCAGATATAACCAGATAGATATAAAGTAGCTCCAGATCAGTTAAAGGCATGATGAGATAAGAACCAATAACCCCCTGACAAATAGCAGATATAACCAGATAGATATAAAGTAGCTCCAGATCAGTGAAAGGCATGATGACATAAGAACCAATAACCCCCTGACAAATAGCAGATATAACCAGATAGATATAAAGTAGCTCCAGATCAGTGAAAGGCATGATGACATAAGAACCAATAACCCCCTGACAAATAGCAGATATAACCAGATAGATATAAAGTAGCTCCAGATCAGTGAAAGGCATGATGACATAAGAACTAATAACCCCCTGACAAATAAAAGATATTAGATTAATAATCACTTGACAAGTGTCAGGTTTGATGAGGTAAGAACTATATCAGACATAGTCAAACCAAATCATAGGTGACCAGACATAGAGAATCTGAACTGAAAAAGTTGGAAGAATGATGTTGGATGATAAATATAATCTCACCCTGGTGTCTTTTGATATCAAGTATATCAACAATCGTTGATGAAAATAGAAAACCTCCGAGTGTTGATAAATTTCAAAAGACAAAAGTGTGAGATTTTATCTATCATCTTTTTCAGTTTGTAGACAGTAATAAGCAGTGTCTTAAAGGGCAACTTCACACGGAAATGAACCTATTTTTCTTGTACTTTTTTCCACATTAAAAGTGTTAACCTAGAAGTGTCATAGACAAAAATATAAAAATATCACAATTAATTAACATATTTTTCGCATTAAAACGATTTATATTTTTCACATTTACCAAGTGTTCTATTTCCACAACAAAAACACCATGGCTTATGCCCCTTGAAATATGACGTCATTGGTGCCAATTGATAAACATTATGACGTCATCATGCTTTGTTAGAGCCGCTTCACGTGGTGTAGGTCCAGGTGTGTGATTCTAGCGTCTCAGATGCCAGCCAGCATAGTGTTATGCTGAGTCACCACTGCGCCGGAGTGTGTCGTAGGCCATGTTGTTTTACCGCAAACTGGTACTTGATATCTTTTGCGTTGAGAATAGTCAGGGACCCAGTTGAATTAGCACCAATTACGTCATAATCTAAGGGGGATAACTCAGGCCTGTTTAGCTCGAAAAACGAAGGCCTCATAACGGCATATCATTTTCACACTATTGTGAGCTTCCTACTTTCACTGTGAAAAAAATGAGTTTATATTTTCAAACACAGATACTAATTAATTCTAAAATTGCGTTTTGTTTAGAAAAAGAAAGAAAGTGATTTTTGCGTGTACACTTCCCCTTTAAATGTACAAACTACTGCTAACAGCTTCAGTAGCAGAGCTGTTAGTGATTTCATTTGATTGTGACGTCATGGTAACCAATGACGTCACAATGATCTGCAAAGCATTGTGATGCAATTTCATTGCAGCGATATCTACCATGTTGATATCGCATGATCTCATCCTACCGATATCTCTTGTTGGAGCCAGTTTTGGACATCTTCCCGAGGCAAGGAGTTAACTGACTTTAAAAGTCCAGTTTCCATCCTTGCCGAACTGGGCTGGAATTCCTGGGCTCGATCGTAGCGCCACCAGTGGCTGTTACCAGTTATGTCCCTTCTAAGCCTCTCATATGCACCAATCAGATTCCACCTCTCGTATCACATGCATTTGCTTCAAACAAAATGGCGGCGATCGATAATCAAGATCTATATTGTGATAAAAACGGGTTTTACATTGCTAATTGCGTCAAATCACGTGAGCACCTTGATTAAAAACATGAAAAGATTTGGAAAATATCTCTGTTGACAATGAGTTGGCGGTGCACATGCTTTGCAAACCCAGCAAACGACCAAAATCTACACGACAGTTTACGAACCGGATTTCGATTTCGTTGCGCGTATTTGATTGGACTATGCATAGACTCGTTAGTCCAGCCAAAATGTAACTCCATAATACCAGCCTTGTTCGGCAAGGGTGGAAACTGGACTTTTATAGTCAGTTAACTCCCTTGCCTCGGGAAGATGGTTTTGGATGATAAATAGGGAATCTCACCCGAGTGTCTTTTAATATCAAATATATCAACACGAGTTTATAAAAGTGGAAAAATTCCGAGGCTTGTTTTTCCACTTTTATCAACGAGCTTCAGTAGCTACAGCTTCAGTAGCAGAGCCATTAGTGATGTCATTTGATTGGGACGTCATGATAACAATGACGTCACAATTGTCTGCAAAGCATTGTGATGCAATTTCATTAAAGTAAAATTTTAACAGACTAGTATCAGTTCAATATCAGACACAAGTCCAGGATCAGATCAGTATTAGACACAAGTCCAGTATCAAATCAGTATCAGACACAAGTCCAGTATCAGATCAGTATCAGACACAAGTCCAGTATCGGATCAGTATCAGGCGCAAGTCCTGTATCAAATCAGTATCAGACACGACAAATCCAGTATCAGAATCATACCGTGCCACTCACCCGTGGATATATCAATATTGATAACAACATTATTGACAAGAAAAGCCAAATAACCGCTGTATTATATAATTGATCGAACTAGAGGCGTCAATACGACCATCTGGAATCTGGTTTCCGTCACCGAAGTGTTGGACCGGCGTGTTCGTATCTGGCGCGGCCTCGAGCATGTGATTAATGCCAGTATTAAAACTACACAAGACTCAAATAAAATGTCACGAGAGACGTCCTGCAATTGTCATTGCCGCTTTTTTAGAATTATTAAAAAGACCACAATCAATCAGAACTGCAGATAAAATGTCGCGAACCTCAATAAAACTTTAAATGACACCACCATGCTTTTAATATCAGAACTAACTTAAAACACCCTAAACTATTCAAGCTTTCGGTCTTTTTTAATTTTTTATTTGACACCAAACTCTTCGAGGGTGTATATTTTGACACATATGGTCCTTTCATCCGTTAAAATAGTCCGACCTTGTCGGGTCAAATCCAAGATGGCCGCCCCTCATGGGCAGGGTGGACTCGGGCTTGTCGACATATTCACCCATCATGTTAAAGAGAGTGTCAGACAAACACTGACATGGGTTTTCTTCCATAAATTCAACACCACGCCATGCGTGACAAATGCATCAAGACGTCGCGTTAAAACATGCAAACGTAACAATTTAAAAAAAAGAAACATTTCAAGTCACGCGCTAACACCCATTGTTCAAGAGTCATTGTGCAAATTTTACACATATTTGATATATGCATCCTCCTAGTAATATAAGCAAAACCTTTGTATCAACGGTCAGGATTCGATATGTGTATTTTTTTTGTGTATTTTATTTTTGCTAAATCATCTCGAATTCTTTTAACGTTTAAGCCATAGTACACATATTTGTGTACCGTGACCCCTTGTAAGAGAGTTATGTCAAGACTAAAGCCCCTTTTGACAAATTTAATCCCTTAATTGGCGGGATTAGCGAGTTAGAAACATGGCTATCAGCCCCATAATAGCCTCTAAGCCTCCGTAATAAATAGGTAAAGCGAGCCCATTGTCTACTGAAAGAGATTGTGGAGAAACGTCGCTCGAGTATTTTTGTATCTGCCTGCCATCCCTTTCACCTTTCCACACAAAGAGAAATGGGAAAATAGCAAAACAGGAAAAAGCGAAGTTTGACGTGATTATCAAGGTATAGCACTTTATCACTGAGAAAAATGTCAACATAGGAAGGACTAAAACGGCGGAGAAAACGTAATGTCCGCTACCGTCACGTGACGTATAAAACGTGTTTGATTCCTAGCGTTATAATTTTTGGATAGTATATTGTTACACTACCGGGCAAAAGAAAGTATACACCCAAGTTTGATTGTGATGAAAATGAAACTAACAAGAAATGGTTTTGCGATTGTGATATATTTGATACGGTTTCATGGTTGTATTTTGGACCTCAAGTTTGCAGTGTTTCGGCGACTGTTTTCAACGTTGTGACGTTTTGATGCCGTTTGTAATTGTTGGTCAAATCCGATTTTCAAGTGTACACTTTCTTTTGCCCAGCAGTTTATATTTGAATATGCGAACCCGTTCATCTTGAGGCGATAGTGATACAAATATTTCATCATCGATTTCTAATTATAATCCTATTTTCTATTTGAAATCTGTACTTAAAATATGATGCTCGCGCGTGAATTTTTATAGTAGCTGTGCTATTTTCTGTACAACAAGTTGTTATTATCCGATCCTTCACGACTGATACTACCTTCCCCTAACTACTTCTCAGTTGGTTGTCCCCGGTACGACTGAGGGTTGGATTACTCAATATAAACAAGTCTTAGGGGAATAGCATATCACATTACTCACTATCGCGCTATCAGAGGTGTCTTCTGACGTACTTAAACTACGCTTCATTTTTTTTCGTTTCACATTCTTTATTATCATAGGGCTCAAATTTCAAAATTGAAATTATTTCATTGAAATATTATTGAAAGTATGTCTGATACCGGAATGACATGCATTGATCTTTCAGCTTGGATATTTTGATTATGCATTTTGTGAATATAATGTTTAATATTTTCATAACATAACTGTGTTGTCATTTCGTCTGTGGTATTCATATTGTAAAAATTCGACCATGTTGTTTTTAGGTATTTGGCGGTCCATCCACAATAACTTTTCCATTTTAAAAGCGAAATATCACGTATAACACTACCATTGGATAAAACTCCCATACGCGTTCTATATCAGCTTGATATCGATCATTGTCAGACCGCCACTTACATTCGTCAAACATCGGTAATCCCCGTCAATCTCCGGGCATTTCACACACTTGAACTGGCTTTAAGATTTCAAACACTTACGTAATTTGATCCTGCTTTGATATCACAAGTAATCCTGATATTTGCTAGTTTGATATATGTGTCGACACTAGACTGTCAATCACAGGAAGGCGTTAGCAGATTTAGCATTTGAAGGATTAAATTGCCATTTTTAACATATAATAAACCCATGGTGTCCTGTTGCATGATGGGTAAATCACTATATGAAGTCAATGGCCTTCTATATGATCTTTTTTTCCGAATTTAACTCTGACAAATAAAACAACTGGGTAATGAATATTGTCTTTGTAATCCTATTACAGCCGTGTAATTAACGTGTGTGTTTTACGAACGCCTTTTAAAAGTCATGGGTTTTGTAAGATTTAGTGTGTGAATGCTTGGTGAATGGCATCTTCCCGAGGCAAGAGAGTTAACTGACTTTAAAAGTCCAGTTTCCACCCTTGCCGAACTAGGCTGGAATTCCTGGGCTCGATCGTATCGCCACCAGTGACTGTTACCAGTTGTGTCCCTTCTATGCCTCTCCTATGGACCAATCAAATTCCACCTCTCGTATCACTTGCATTTGCTTCAAACAAAACTGCGGCGCCCTGTCAAGACGATCTGATCGATAATCAAGATCTATTTTGTGATAAAACGAGTCTTACATCGCGAAGTGCATCAAATCACGTGAGCACCTTAATTAAAAACATGAAAAGATTTAGGAAATATCTCTTGTCAACGAGTTAGCGATGCACATGCTTTGCAAATCCTGCAATCGGCCGAAATCTGCTTGACAAATTACGAACCGGATTTCGATTTCGTTGCGCGACTTTGATTGGACTATGCTTAGACTCGTTAGTCCAGCCAAAATGTAACTCCATAATACCAGCCTAGTTCGGCAAGGGTGGAAATTGGACTTTTAAAGTCAGTTAACTCCCTTGCCTCGGGAAGATGGGTGAATTGATGTTGAGAACCTGGCAAACTGATCTGTTTTTCATGACCCTGGTTTGAGTGAAATACATGTACAACTGGTGTTAGTGAAAGGTTAGATAACTCTGCTTGTCAAGGGCGACTAACGGGATCGTGTGGTCAGGCTCGCTGACCTAGTTGATGCATGCCATCGTATCCCATTTTCGTAGATCGATGCTCATGATATCAATCACAAGATTTTCAGATCCGATTATTTACCGACCGCCGTCATATAGCTCGAATATTGCGGAGTGCGGCGTTAATCAAAAAACAGAATCAACAAAAAATGGATAATACTGATAAACGTATGCTTGACATACAGCATAAATTGAAATATCCAGCTTGATATAGCATCACACGTGTATAGCTACAAGTAAAGGAGACCGTTCTGATGGAGTTTCTTTTCATCACAGGGATATGCAGCAGCGGTTTCATGAGGATTAATGAAGACACGCCGTGTGGTGAGTATTGCGATGTCTGTATAGGATTCGAAAGTGGTGAGCACAGCCTTTCATGCGTTCGTCCGCCGCGCAGAAAGTCCGGGTTCAGTACCAAACTTTGGTCAAAATACCCCCATCACCCCTATGTACATCCTCTTTGTTGTAAGGGTCAAAATACCCCAATCGGCCCATATGAACACCCTCATCGTTGTAAGGGTCAAAATAGAGCTATCACCCCCCGTGAACACCCTCTTTGCTGTAAGGGTCAAAATACCCCAATCGGCCCATATGAACACCCTCATCGTTGTAAGGGTCAAAATAGAGCTATCACCCCTCGTGAACACCCTCTTTGTTGTAAGGGTCAAAATAGAGCTATCACCCCTCGTGAACACCCTCTTTGTTGTAAGGGTCAAAATACCCCAATCGGCCCATATGAACACCCTCATCGTTGTAAGGGTCAAAATAGAGCTATCACCCCTCGTGAACACCCTCTTTGTTGTAAGGGTCAAAATAGAGCTATCACCCCTCGTGAACACCCTTTTGTTGTAAGTGTCATCGAGCCCCATCACCTCTACAAACACCCTCATCGTTGTAAGGGTCAAAATAGCGCTATCACCCCTATGACCACCCTCTTTGATGTTAGGGTCCAAATACTCCAATCGGCCCATATGACCACCCTCTTTGTCAGCTCTCGTGAACACCCTCTTTGTTGTAAGTGTCAGTGTAGCCCCATCACTCCTATGTACACCCTCGTTTAAAAGGAAGATCATGTGGTAAGACCTTGCTGATGTGTGTCATTCTATCAACCACTAAACTGCCCTGCCGTGAGTATTTACAGACCGCTGTGGTCCCTCTGAAATTTTGCTGACTGCGGTGCAAATTCACATTCACTCGCCAAGCTCACTCTTGGTTTTTGGCGTCCTCGTCAATAGATTGGGATGGGACCACCTCCCATGGTGATCGAGGAGTTTCTAAAAGGGTACAAAGTAATATTTTGCCATGCATATATTGATTTGTTGATGTAGTTTTCAGACAGGGGAATGGGGGTTAGCTCATTACATACCGCGAACTATTTCGATCATGTTTGTGAGAAATAAAATCCAGTTTTAACTAAACATTTATCTTTCTTCTAGTTGAGAACCTTGCCTTCAAGAAGGAATCCTGGATTAACAGCAAACGTCATTACAAACGTCACATCCGGAACCAGGTCGCGGAAGGTCACGCGTCACGTGCGGTGGACGGTAGCCTTGACATCAACTTTCAGAGTTGCACCATCCTTGACAACCTCTACGGCGACAACCCCGTGTGGACGGTGGACCTTGGCACCAAACAGGCAGTGGCTGGAGTCATTATCTACACGTGGCAAGGACGAAACGGTCAGTTGACACGGGGCCCAGAATAGAGGTTTAGATGCCCAATACCAACGGTCAGTTGACACGGGCATAGAATTGGGGTTTACAGTCCCAGTACCAACGGTCAGTTGACACGGGGCCCAGACTAGGGGTTTAGAGGCCCAATACCAACGGTCAGTTGACACGGAGCCCAGACTAGGGGTTTAGAGACCCAATACCAACGGTCAGTTGACACGGGGCCCAGACTAGGGGTTTAGAGACCCAATACCAACGGTCAGTTGACACGGGGCCCAGACTAGGGGTTTAGAGACCCAATACCAACGGTCAGTTGACACGGGCATAGAATAAGAGTTTAGAGGATCAATACCAACGGTCAGTTGACACGGGGCCCAGAATAGGGGTTTATAGGATCAATACCAACGGTCAGTTGACACGGGGCCCAGACTAGGGGTTTTGAGGCCGATACCAACGGTCAGTTGACACGGGCATAGAATAGGGGTTTACAGTCCCAGTACCAACGATGTATTGTTCTTAAACCCATACCCTTGTCCATGTTCTTAAACGATTCCCGATCCAATCCCGTATGTGCACAATACGTATGTTGTGATGTACGTCAAAAAACCGACATGACAGAAGTTGTTTGTCCTATACAAGACTAAATCCTACAAAATACTGACTTCAGAATTTCGAATCAAATTATAAGATTACACTGACGCCTGGACAAACCGGACAAACACATGTCCTGACCCGGAATGCAAGGTTGCCGGATTAACGGGTTTTGGACTATGGAGGTTTCACCTCTGAATTTTTCTCCATACACTCGTTTTTCTCAAGTTCCATTGTTCCGATGTCACTAAATGAAAATATTAGAATCATGAGGCCTCGGAGATAGATTTTGCTCATCCGTTTCGCGAACACCTGGTGTGCCACTGTGGGTGTTCATGCTTTAATTTTAGCTCCTTTTTTATCGAGATGGAGCTACCCAAAGTTCCATCATCTACATGAATTATCGAGTTCAAGATGTAAAGACGTTTCCGCTGTACAAGAACCCTGACTCCATATTCGATTTATTCTCCTTCGCTTTAGAAATCATCCAAATGTCCTTTCAATCTCTTCTTTGCTTTCATCTTAAAAGTAGGTACCCTGAAAAGTGAGTGAGTGAGTTTGGTTTTACGCCGCTTTTAGCAATATTCCAGCAATATCACGGCGGGGGACACCAGAAATGGGCTTCACATATTGTACCCATGTCGGGAATCGAACCCGGGTCTTCGGCGTGACGAGCGAACGCTTTAACCACTAGGCTACCCGGCCGCCAAGGTACCCTGAAGAAGTTGAGCAAATTGGGTATAACAATTATAAAAGAATTTAGAAAATTGCAAGTTAAATTCTTAAAACATATGACACATTGTCTTTATGTTTTGATAAAATTGATATATTATATGTTATTCTTATGAATGATGAACCGAAAACGGCTTACACTGAAGTAAGGGGCGGTCGGGTAGCCTAGTGGTTAAAGCGTTCGCTCGTCACGCCGAAGACCCGGGTTCGATTCCCGACATGGGTACAATGTGTGAAGCCAGTTTCTGGTGTGCCCCCGCCCTGATATTGCTGGAATATTGCTAAAAGCGGTGTAAAACAATACTCACTTTCTACACTGAAGTAAAGTGCTTTTCTCCATTACTTTCAAGATATTAAAATAGAACCGTCAAAATATCTTCTTTCGCAGTCAGGGGTTAACATTCTTAACGTCATAATAGTCACAAGACGCGTTGAAAGTCATTGGAAAATGTTATAATCTGACTCTCTGTTCATTCACACTTACGATCGCCTCCGTGGTCTTGTGGTAGAGCGTCCGCCCGGAGAGCGGAAAGTCCGGGGTTCGGTTCTCGGCCGCGTCATGTCAAAAGACGTTAAAAGATGGTACTTGTTGTTACCCTGTCTGGCTCTCGGCATAAAGGGGCTAAAACAGGGACTGGTCGGCTCGGAGTCAGTATAATGTGTCTGAGTGGGGTATTCATGTTAAACTGCGGCATGGTATCTCAGTGAGCTAGCACTATAAATTGGCATGAGTCCGGACTAGTACCAGCAGCCACACACACACATACACGTGCATGCACGTCGCTATATAAGTGCAATAATCTTGGACGCGACGTTAAACCCAATTCGCCTCACCATTCACACTTAGAACTCACAGGTCATTGGACTTACTGCATGTTACATGCATGTAGCAAGTCGGAGCAGTTGTTTGAGTCGGTGATTTATATACCGTGTATCCCCATGAAGACTTTACACTAGGGTATGAAACTCCCAAAGTTTTCAGCCAGACCACAGGACTGGCTAGCTGAAATACTTGCCAGCCCTGACCAAAACCTGCCTGCCCACTATAATCATATGTTTCTCAGGATAATTTAATTAAAACTTTAAATCGAATTCATTGAACATGAAGTAAGGCAAGAAAAGAAATAGCAAACACTTTTTAGGTCAGATTTGTATTTAATATGCTAGAATACATCATGTAAATAATGCTTATTATCGGGAAATATTTAGAATATTTTTACATATGAAATATAACCCGACCGTCGGGCAGGGGGATTTGAAAATCTGGCAGCCCGAGTTGAAATCAACCCGTCTCGGACGGTCGGGCAGGCAGGTATTTCGAACACTGCTTTACACTCGTTTTATTGAGAATTCATCTGTGGGACATGTATATTAATTAATTTTCGATAATTTGATGATAATATTTATTTGTTACATTCCAGGAATTGACAAACGGCTTCCAGACGACGCTCCATTGTTTACTAACGAGAACGGAGGTAAGAGTGACACGTGTCTACTTTAATACTCTATGTTGGTAAAACGCATGATAAAACTAACCATGTTATTGCAACAAATATGGATAGTCACATGTAGATTTGTCCATGTCACCTGCTGGTGGCAGTGTCAAGGGTCTCGCTATATCCACAGTGCTGTTATTGGACTTGTTTCTAAATGTGTATCTTTGCCTCTTGACACATTCCGATAGACGGAGAGTCAACATGCTCCACCCCTCACCCACACTCGCACTCCCTCTCCCCTGCTCCCCCACCCCCATCAGCCCTTACAACACTCCTTGCCATCTGGCTGCTATATATTGCTTTCATAAGGAGTATTCATAAGGAGTAGTCTCCAACACATGAAGTTGATTTTCGCAGCTCTTCAGCGAGTCTTACAGTATGATCTCATGTAGTGATATTCCTGTCTTATTGTGAGGACGTCATCTGTGTGTTTTAACACCAAAACTGTCTCCATATCGCCTTACCCAGGAAAATAAACAGAACGAGCTGTTCAAATGCTGCCAGATTTAAGTACCATGGCCAGCCCGTCATCATTAGGGGACAATTGTTGGGGTATTTTCATAGTAAACCCATTTAGCCTGGGTGGGTGGGGACGCGACAAATACCTCGGCAAGTGTGGCAGGTGCGAGGTGGGTCCCCAGACGTTTGACCAATAGTAGAGGAGAAAGTGACGTTGGATATGAGTTCATGACATTACGACATGTATAAATGGAACTCTTTAATACAACCCCCTCACATTCCAACCATTACACATGAGGCCTCGTGATATACTCATGCTTCAGTTTTGTTGAGCGGACACTCGTCAATCCGATTCTTTTTTCCATTCCAACCATTACAAACGAGGCCTAGTAATATACTCATGCTTTAGTTTTGTTGAGCGGACACCCGTCAATCCGAATTTCGGTCACATTCCAACCATCACAAATGAAACCTAGTGCTATACCCACGCTCCTGTTGTGTTGAGCGGACACTCGGTAAACCGGAATTTGTTACACCAAACTGTCGGTACTTAAGGTTCTGTTTGATGTAGGTAGTCAATGTATGTAAAAGGTTCAGTTTCGTTGCTTACCCTTTTCGCGAACAGCTGGTGTCATCACTGATTTTCAGTGATCATTCATATAATTTTCACAGCTATTTTGCCTTTTTCGCCCAATGGAATCTGTTCCTCAGCACTTGAGGTTATATATATATTTGATAACAAGGCCTTAGGCTTGGGAAATCGACAGCAGCGCAACATACGCCACATTGTTTTAGGAATTTGTACAGATGGTTTGAACACACACTATTTGTCGGTAGCGGTGGTTTGATTTGCAAAGAGGTGTTTTGATGGTGATTTTTTTAATTAAGGAGAAAAGAGTAGCCTGGAGTTCGGGACAGTACAAGCAGGTGCACGATGCACTGCTACAAACTATCGGTGATATTGTATAACTGCTGGCAGATTTGTGTATAAGAACGAGCGTGGTCGTGGGCGAGGGGTATGCACGTGCGTGTGTTTTAATGGCGGCGGTGTATTGAAAATACATTACAGCGTGGTAGGACCATCGACGGAAGGGACAGATTAACCGTCTTTAAAGTGACACTTAAGACGCTGATTCGGTTCACATGGTGTAATGGGTGGTCCGAGAACGGAGTAACAATGTGGTCGAGTCATGAGAAGTAGTCTTCGATGGAGCCTTGACCCAGAATAACGTTGTCGCCTTCATCATCAACTGTGCACAGATCCATCACCTAGATTGTTGTAAGAATATGTTTAACTCTTCATCTCCGCTTAGGATGGAGCCACGGTAGTTATGCAGACTGGCATATGTAGCCTCCTTTGCCTATATAGAGAATCCTGAATCACTACAGCTCTCCAAAAATACTGTTTTATTGTCTTGCTGATAGAAACGGCTACTCAACGTTAACATACGTTTCTCTAACAACACATTCTGGTACTCCACTAGTCTAAATAAACCATCCCCTTGAACGCGGGACGCGAAATAATTTTGTTTTAATTTGTGCAGTTCCAACGATCGCGACAGTGCCGCGAAATATTCGCGTCGCGATCGAGGGGAAGGTTGTTTTGCGCAGTAGTGTACATACCTCGTAGGAAGATAAAGGACGTTCTCCGCGTGTGTTTGTTATCTCTCGCTTAAAACGCACGTAACACAGCTAATGACTCCCTCTCATTACAGCCCGTATTTCACGGGTTTGTGTATATTTTCTAATGATACAAGGCTTTCCATAAGGTGTTGTCCTAAACATGCAACTATAGGTAAACACGGTGCATGCTAAATCACGTTTCCTGATTCAGCCCTGCTGCAGTGTAAACACGGCATTCCGCTCTGCACCCCATATGCCAAGTACCCCGACCCCACAGGAATAAAATTCAGCGCCGGTACAAAGTTGTTGTCCTTAACATGGGATGGGTAGCCGTACAGGGACAGGCGTAGGTTTAAACAACCTACACAGTACGCTGGTTGTGCGTGTCGACGATGATGTAAATACAGACGTTGCTGTCGTCATGGTAGCGTGTAAGGTTTATCCTACTATATGGCTGTCGATCTGGCATCTGTAAGGGACCGTATCATGATTGTTTTGATCATTTCTAACTTAATATTTATTTCTTAATCGGAAAGAAAGTTCAATACTATTTTTGATATTCAATCGATTTCACATCATTATCAGATTTATATTTTCATAATAGATATTTTCAGATAAATATTAATATACTTTCGTTTTTGTTGTATTAACACAAATTATTTCTGATTCCTTTAATTATACCAAATCATCTATTCACCCGCCCCCCGTGAAGATCCGGGATAGAATTGGTCAGACACCCATGCTTGTAAGAGGCGACTAACGGGATCGGGTGGTCAGGTTCCGTGACTTGGTTGATGCATGTCATCGTGTCCCAATTGCAGCGTTAAACAACAAACAAACAATATGAAACTATTCACTCGCACGTGCACACAATGGGAGATATCGTCAAGTCGATAATACAAAATAATTGTACAAAACTCAAAGAAAGTTCAAAAATACTTTTGATATTCATTACAATCGATTTTACATTATAGTAAGATTTATGTTTTCGCAACGTTTCAAATGAATATCAGTCTACTTTTCATTTTCGTTACATTAACACATATCCTTTCTTGTTACTTTCAATTCAACTCATTCACCTATTCACCCGCACGTGCTACTATGGCGGATATATCGCTAGTGCGAACAAGTCGATCATATAAAATATTCCACAAAACTCGGAATTCTACAGATCCAAGACCAGCCCCGATTAGCATTCTAATGCCCCGCTTCGGGCATCGAGCCTATGATTATCTCTGTAAGTACTGGAAGATTTAATACCAAATTGGCGGTAGCGAATGCCACCCTATAACGTAAATGCTATTGACAGTATAATGGTTCGATTACTCCCCAGCTATATTGCTATAACCGAGCGCGACAATCCACCTGAGGTTTATTGGCTAACGGTAATGGATACATTATACGTGCAGTTAGGCTACATTACGAGGGGCACGAGGGGTGGGCGCACAGGGTTTAATTTGAATCTTGGTACTCATGTGTTAACGTGCTTGGTACGAGCAGAGAGTCATTGTTCGACTGAATGCTGCTTTAGATTATCTGTTTTTCTGTTCTGTGTAGTTTTGCGGATATATCTTTGATTATTATGTTGCGTTCGAGTTGGATTTACAAGGCTTAATATTGATACCGGGAGATACCACACAATTCCAAAATCTGAGTGAGTGAGTTGGGTTTAACGCCGCTTTTAACATTATTCCAGTTATATCACGGCGTGTCAGCTTAATGTGGGAGAAAAGCCCGAAGTGATGCAGGTCTAAGACGTTACCACTTCGGTGAAACCCACGAGCACGGGTATGGTGCTGACAAACCTAGAAACATAATTTGGGCGAACCGGGATTCGAACCCACAATCATAGGTTTCTGGCGTGCCCAAGGGACGCAACTCTGCACAGCGAATTGCGGCGCCTTAGACGACTGGGCCACCCGTGCCCCCCCCCCCCCCCCCCCCCCCCCCCCCTCTGAAATATTATGTGCACATTGTAACATAAACAATATCAAAGATCTGTAGTATTTCACTAGTCTGTCATGCAGACCCTGAAACAAATATATCCAATACAGTCCATGCAAGTGTAGAATATTTGGCAAGTCTTGATTACTGCACTATAAGGAATGAGGAAAGTCTCTGGTGAATTCAACTCATTTCACCTTTATAGTTTTGCGACCGGGTTCCGTCTTAGCGCAAACGGGCATATCTAAAACAATTGTCAACTCGTTGCGTAATGGTTCACATATATTTCCCCATATATTATATATATTTCAGATGCAATTTAAAGCACACCTGGACATGCGAAATTATACAGTATGATTGAACACATTTAACTGTGTCTTGGGTACATTTCTAGATGCAAGACATATGTAAAATCAAAAAATATTTCTGAGGGATTCTTTGATGAACAACTTGAAATCATACGAGCATTCTGATTGGTTTACGGAAAGGGGCGAGTGGTGACGAATGCCCTTTTTGTATGAACCTGCAATGACGCACATGTTTTACAGTGATTGATAACTGAGAATGCGACATGCACGCTGGCTTAACTGTTTGTGTGTTTAAAGAACATCAAATAATGCCCTCTTTGTAAGTACAATTTTGAAAATATCATGAAAACCCACCGCTATTGAGCCCCACCCTAATGAAGTAACCACGCCTATGCTTATACGATGGCGCCGGTAGCATAAGGGGGTGGAGATTCTAGGGACGGGGGTCCACTTACATGGATGACCATTTCATTTGTTATAGGGGTCAGGCAAGGGTCACTGAATTGAATTAATACATTTCGAAAGGGAAAGAAACAATCCCCAGACGAATTAATTGTTTTCGGATTAAAGTCGGGGGCTGATCAGTTCAATCTAGCTGTGTGTCTCCCTGGTCAATCTGTGACCGATTTATCTATCGTGATGTAGATCTTAAGTAAACTTTAGCACACCTGACAATCTAGCTCGTTTAATCCTGGTGATCACTTCATTGGGTAGCCAGCGTCCCCTCTAGGTGATGAAATAACTGCTTATGTAATTTATCACTGCCACCAGACGAAAAACCTGTAAACACGGTGATCTGTTAATGTCCATTAGGTCCCGGCCCACGGGTCATCTAGATTGCATCAAAGATCTTGGCCCTTAAATGTCCTTAATTATTTCTGACGTTTCCGTGTCACGAAGTTGAGCATTGATAAAACGTTTGATTTTTTGTTAAAGTCATTAAACAAGGCAGCCGGCGGGATTTTGTTATAACCGATTAATTTACAATTATTTAAATTGTCTAAGGCTGTATCAGTGTCCTATTGAAAGTAATTATTTTACACATAGGGGTAGAATAATAACTTTCCAATATTTGCACATGTGCATTTAGCTATTCCAATGCTGATTGGTCAGTTGAAGCCTTGATACGTCACAGTGCTTCATTGTTGAGAAAAAATCGATATGACGTCATCCATTGTTCATGACGTCACAAATTGAGTACATGACGTCATCTGAACAGTAGTCTGCCTTCAGTGAAGTTTTTCTGTAGGGTTGACATTTCTACATTTTCTCTCATGAAATATCAATGAGCAATATATTGAGTCACCATTTATTCAATCGGGACAGCTAATAACTTGTCGGTTATAAATAGCACACAATGAGAATATAATTCTAATGTAGTACTACCTTGATCCTTTGATCTGAGTATCATTAAAACCATGATTTTTATGTGTTTTATTTCATCATTTCTACAAACCATGTCATAAGTTAAACAAGGAAAGATAACCCGTTAAAATCCGGACAGTTAACATTCGTTATACTGATTTGTGAACCGGACTTTTTACCGTACGCCACCAACATTAAATGATCACACTGAAGGAGAAATATCCATACACGTTTTAAATAACCCAAAATGAAACCCATGTTTAACACTTCTTGTAGGCTATCATTCTCAAGTCAGTCATATCTCTCGGGACTACATATTCGTGTTTTCGCTACTACAACCAAATACTTTGGTCATTCATCAGCGATGCTACCACGGCTCCTTGTCGTTACTAGGGACCAAGAGGCAATGTATCACGTCTTCAAACACAGACCAATTAACATAATGGCTTGCTAATGTCAGAGATAGAGAGAAAAATGATCCGGGAGTTAAAGAGTTCATTCCGAGCCAGAGGCCCCTTCACTTGAAAAAGTCTCATCAGATATGTTTGTAAGCCACTGATAAGGGATGAGTCAGCAATTTAGGTTGAAACTCATTTTATGCTGAACCAGTCTGTACGTTTACACTTGCATAATTGCTTATATTTCAATGTATAATCTTGGTACATATTGAGCATCTACTCAGGTGTTCAATTGGAATGGTTGTCTTCCGATTCGTCTTGTAGACGTGGTTGAATTATCATGGCCCCGTTCCTCAAAGCGATCTTAGCGCTTCGGCTGTCTAAATATATATATATGTTAGGGAATTACGACGGTATTAGCGCTAACATCGCTTTGTGGAACGGCGCCTAGGGATACTGACGTCCACTACTGAAGTGGCTTTGAATTTTTTAGCAGTTAAGTGCTCTGGCTTTATACTTCTGAAACCATCATTTTTAAAGGTTATTGGTTGGCCCATGTGTTCACGTTAATCTGATGCTATGTGTTGACACCGGTTTATTTTAAGTCTGCGTGTTTGACTACAGGGCAATGCAACATGCAATTGGAACCATGTATTAAACTTCGCGGAAGATAACAGCAAATACCCTCCATGTGTTGTCATGGTAACTTATCTGCCCTGTTTGTTTCAGAGCAACAAGAAGGTACGTCCTTCCAGGAATACATGAAGAATCTGGACAAGTTGGTTGTGTACGTGGACGAAAAACTCAAAGACGAAGACGATTCCTACGCGTCCGGCAACATGTGCAACTACGTCAGCAGCCTCAACAACGCTTTGTTTGAGAAGAAACTCATTCTACAGTGCATCAGGCGACATGTTGGGCGTTATGTCCTGATCGAGGCTTGGGGGGTCCCCAATTCTTGGAGTAGACTCTTCAGTGCAGTTCTGTGCGAGGTTCAAGTTTTCAGTTAGTGTGACGTCATTATGACGTCATTGTGACATCAGAGACAATGGTGATAATGCTGACTGACGTTCTATGACGAAGGAGGAGGGTAAAGACTGTTCTATTGTGATCTCTGCGGGTCGTGACGTTTATAGTGAGTGTGTTCAAATCATGCTTCCTGCTTCAAAGACATGTCTGTGAGGAGGTTGTATAACGGAAGTGTTGACTTACCTCCCTTGTCATAAGGGAGGGGTTATTATTTCACAAGCCGTGATGGTTTGTCAAATGAGCTCGCAAGTGACTGAGAGCGGGACTCGCACAGTGCCCCTACGCTGTAGTGTGACCCGTGGCAAAGACGCTTCAAAGCGGTTGTACCGTAGATACACATTATTAAGGATCGTCATGGAAAAGACATAATTCACATGTTGAAAATAACTTGTCCCTCAGTAGACACAAACGTATATGGGCGACGGTAGGGTAAAGTTGACGTTGCTCGGGAAGATCCAAATCTTGCATAAACAGAAGCGAACTGCGACTTTTGTGATAGTGTGCAAGGTAGGAGGACGATGTCAGCGGAGACATCTTGTCGCCTTGATGGATGGCGAGTTGATATCGTATTCAATGTTACTTACAGCTGCGATTCGGTGGGGCAACGTGAGTTTAGTTTAGTTGAAATTAAAATTTATGCTAAAAATTGTGATATTTGTTTTATGAAATCAAAATGATTAGAAACTTAGTTTTGGCAGTCAAATATTCATATCAATTCCTGATAACAAGGAATATTTTTCGTTTAAATGCAAAATAAGTATTTACAAATTCAAAAGATTATTTTCCACGCTAAAAGGTATTTATGTAATCACATAAATCTTGCTACCTTGATGATTACCTAAAAATATATGTTTTGACTCATTTAAAAAAATATAGTTACACAACTTTGGGGCGTTCCCCCAAAACAACGCCCCATCCAAGCCATGTTGCCCCACTGCAAAACATCTTATAGATATTATGAAGCAAGTACAGGCATGTATGTTCATCCAAAGCAGTGCCATCGTTTCCATAGTAACGCATTTCATATTGAAAAATTAGAAGGAACCTCATTTTGTTGTAATTTCATAGCACTGCCAGTAATCTTGACTTTGTATATAACGATCTAAGTGTTCCTAGTACTCGGCTCCGAGGGAAATGATCACCGAACCGGTTTTACGAATGGATAATCTTGGGACAGGTTAGAAGATACAATTATCACGAAACGATGGGTACGGGGGGAGTTTCAGGGAAGCTGGGATCATTCGCTATTACTCGTGTTATTCCGGGACGAGCCGAATGGCGATTTGCGGAAACGTGCGAGTGGTGACGAACGGGGAGACTGGAGGAATTTGGAAAGGGGTGACGGATGTCTTTAGTCAGGAAACATGATATCAGTGACCAACATTTGTCCATAGTAACGTTTGGATTCGTAAACATTTCAAAATTTGACAGTTGAAAAAGAAAAACACTTTCTGAAACGGTTATTCAGAATCTTCTCCGATGAATCCTTCCCCGAATTGAATGTCCTGCTCTACAAAAGACAAAGGTCCCCAATTTCAAATGTGCTGGCAAATTCAAGGGTAGTTAACTTCCATGCGAAACCGGTTCACTGATTCTTTTCTTGGTGTATGGTTGTTTGAGCTCTGGCAGTTCAGTACACCCGTTATTTATTTTCAGTGTACATAATACTGCTTGAAATAGAGGTCTTCCCCTCACTCGGACTGACCGAATGTTGTATAAAGCATACCCCTGTATTCAGTAAGTGTATAGTATCTATGCAATTCATCCCGCAATTGTTATTGTTACCAGGGATACTTTCAGGTTGCTTGGCAACGAGTGACGTCATGAACTAATGACGTCACCACTTAAGAAATGGTCATGGAATATATCCAGGGGTGTAATTCTGTTGAGGCAGTGTTGAAGAGAAGCCATTTTCTCATTGACGCCAACGGCTTAAGAATCACGTGATTAAGGAATCACACGTTGCCTAGCAACAACCTTCCATGACGGATAGTTGGTAAGGATATAGAGGTAGACAGTTCCCGTGGTAGGTTGTGTAACGATTGTTGTTGTTTTTGTTGTTATTGTTACAACACTCTATAAGTGTTCGTTATTCTTGAAAATACCAAAATGAACTTTGAAAAAAACGTCCTCATAACTTACAAACTTCTTGACGTGTGGGGATGATATATTTGAACTAAACTCCATCAAGTCTTCGACAAATTCTCTACCTCAGCCGTCTTGGCTTACCTTAGTAACACTGGGAGTATTGCTTAGTAGCTTCAGTACCGGAAACTGGCGTCTATGCCCCAAGGTCATAGGTCATATCACAAGGTCATAGGTCAAATCTCAAGGACAGGTCAAATCTCAAGGTCATAGGTCAAGGTTCATATCTTGAAGCGGTTCTAGATTCTGTTAAGTGTGGATAACAGGAGTAGAACTATACTAACCGCTACAGCCAATGAACTGTAGCGTAAAATACACCCCATGGCAAAGAAGAGGTTCCCCACACTTTCCCATGCGCCGTCTACAGTGTCTTATTTAATTAATGTTAAGCCGTGTGGAGTGTTACAAAAGTTTGACCGTTTCTGTTATTGATGTCGTTATGGACCTTGGTCGTTTTTTAATTCAATTGGATACATCCTGCGAGGTGTCAATGTATCCATTAAATGGACCTTGATGTACACATATCCATTTACGTCAAATGATTGGATACCTCGTTTCCACTTTGTAAGTACGTGTAGATATTCAGGGTGAAACATCAATCTCATTAAAATCAGATCTTAGTTCTTGCTACCGCTAAACAAAGATCTGAGGACATCCCATTACGGGTCACGTCAGACCGACCTCGCGCGAACATTGACCGACCAATGGAATGACCAATCAGAAGGCAGCTTTCTCTTGCTTTACGGCACAAATTTCAAATTGGCGACTACGCTTCGGAGCATATTCTGACAAATTCTCGATTAAAAATTTGAAACCCGAACAAAAAAACATCCTTGAATGACTAATAGATGGTCTAGATTGTAAGGATTCAGTCGTTAAACCCGTAACTATCGTTCGGAATACCCCATGTTAAAGTTTTCGAGATTGCATGATTAGAAATCACATTCCGACTGTCACATTCATAATCTGGTAAGCAACGCACTGATTGGTCGGATGAAAGGTCGTTCTGACGTGACCCCTAATGGGATGTCTTCAGATCTTTGTTTAGCGGTAGCGAGAACTAAGAACTGATTTTAATGAGATTGGGTGAAAAATATTCTGTGAAAATGCTGACTTTTTGACGGACGTTGAACCTAGATAGTATAAATTATCTAAGATTCTTTTGTAGACGAAAACAAAGGCATTTGTGACTGACCGGTAGTTTAGACAGACACACCCTGACAATGTCCGCGGTACGTGCTTAGCATTAGAGCCAGGTCTAGTGACAATGATAAGTGAATAACTATTAAAATAGGCTTTTCGAAACACAATCTGAATAATTTATTCAGACCCGTGCTTTTTAGCTATTTTTTAGATCGGATCAAAACAATGCCAAAGAATACATTTACCTTAGGTTGTCTGATATATGAATCGTTTAAATATTTTTTATTATTTAGAATGTGAGGTTAAAGTTGAACTCATAATCATCATCAAATTATAATCATGTGTACAATAATAATACGATAATCGATTGTAAGAAAGCTATAATTGTAGCAGTTGGTATATTTGATATTTGAGAGGTCTGAATGTAGCCAAGTAGGCCTCCGACACTGAAACCAGGTTTATTTATTATGTATATGTTTGTCGGCGGCAGCCGGACAGAAGGGTTGCCAGCCTAGAAGATATATGTTGATATACGATCTTATGGTAATTTAATGGCAACCTCGTTCTGTATATCGTTGCCATGACAACTCTAACACTTGTACAATTGTACTTCATTACAAAATAAAACTTTAAATTACAGTTAATATTTTGTTGTTATTGGTGATAATGTGATGTAAGCTGGGGGATGTAGAGTCGACGAAATAAATACAAATTTAAACAAAGCCATTTCCATAATCATAAGTACCATAATGATAATCATAATCAAGAGTCCCTTGTACGATTCTGACTACACCATAAGGATGTATTTATGAATCAGTCTCAGATAGTAATAATACCATGTGTTCGCCTAAAGGTGCCTGAGACACCCAGGGTCAGTCAGGTAGCCAATTGAATAAAGTGTTCGCTCGACACCCCGAAGACCAAGGTTTGATTCCCGACATTGGTAGAATGTGTGAAGCCCATTTCTGGTGTCCCGTGATATTGCTGGAATATCGTTAAAGCGGCGTAAAACCATATTCACTCACTGTGGCACCCGTCACCCATGCAAAGGCAATTGTTTACCTGATTAAAACATGGAAACATATGGTACTAGTCAAAATGATGTCATTGATGCCTCAACTTTGGAAAAGTCCTCCACATGTCTACCCTAAAACTTGCCAAAAATGGCAGCACCCCAAGAAACCCTTCTGAAACTGGTGTGAGGTGAGGTGAAATTGGGTTTAACGTCGCGTCCAAGATTATTTCACTTTTTAGCGACGTGCATGCACAGGTGTGTGTGTGTGTGTGGCTGATTGTACTAGTCCGGACTGATGCCGATTTATAGTGCTAGCACACTGAGATACCATGCCGCAGTTTAACATGAATATCCCACTGTTTATATTTTGTTTGTTTGTTGTTTGACGCCGCACTTCGCAATATTACAGCTATATGACGGCGACCTGTAAATAATCGAGTGATTGACACCATCACACGGGCTTTGAAGTTTAGCCTCGTAAAAGTAAAAGTGTCTGCTCATCACGCCTAGCATGGTCCAGTGCCCGACATTGGTACAATGTGTGTAGGCCTTGCCTTGCGTCCTCACTCACTCACTCACCCACCCACCCACTCACTCACTCACTCACTCACTCACTCACTCACTCACTCACTGTGCAGAGTTGTGTCCCTTGGGCACGCCAGGAATTTATGATAGTGTTCGAATTTGCGGTTCGCCCCGATTATGTTTCAAGGTTTGTCAGCCCCATACCCATGCCTGTGGTTTCACCAAAGTGAAACTTAGTTATGTGACTTGTCTCTGTTTTGGGGTGACGCACGAACGAGATTACTTCCACAGTATCATCACGACTTCGTCGACACTGACGTTTTAAAGAGGACGGGTACGATAAATCCGAAATACAAAAATTATAGATGGTATAAGCGCCAATAACTGTGACAACTTTCACACGTAACTGGAAGGTAACAAGACACCTGACAGTGAAGTGTCTCGTCTGGCCAACTAAACCAGTGGTTGAGCGCATGAACAAGCATCACTGTGCTACGGCACGTTGACCAGCAACATATTGTATGTTCAGTATGTGTGTGTGTGTGTGTGTGTGTGTGTGTGTGTGTGTGTGCTTGTACTAGTCTGGACTAACGCTGTCTTTCTACTTTGCCAGCCCACTGAGATACCACGCCTAACCACCCGTGAAGATTCCGGGGTAGAATAGGTCTTCAGCAACCCATGCTTGCCGTAAAAGGTGACTAGGCTTGTCGTAAAAGGCGACTAACGGGATCGGGTGGTCAGGCTCGCTGACTTGGTTGATGCATGTCATCGATCTCAATTGCGTGGATCGATGCTCATGATATCAATCACTGGATTGTTTGGTCCAGATTCGATTATTTACAGACCGCCGTCATATAGCTAGAATATTGCTGAGAGCGGCGTTAAACAACAAACAAACAAACCAACCAACCACGCCTAACTTTTAACATGGATATCACACTCAGTCTTAGCACTCTCCGAGCCGACCAGCGTTTTTTGTAAACGCCAAGCGCCAAGCAAGGCAACAACAAGTATTATCTTCAACGTCGTTTGATATGACGCGCCTGGGGACAGAACCCAGACCTTCCGCTCTGCAGACAGTCGCTCTAACCACAAGCTCAGGTTGCGCCAGACTAACCACAGACAATGAAATCTCAAACGCAACTTATTGGCAGGGACGTAGTCTAGTGGGTAGCGCGCTAGCTCGTCACATATGTACCTGGTTCGATTCTTAACATGGTTTACGCCGATCTCGGTCAGTACCTACTCATGTATGCACCGCATCTGTTTTGAGACTCGAATACTCTAAGTAATGGTGAAATAATCAATTCAATCTCTTACACTACTGGGGGCACGGGTGGCCCAGTCGCGTCCCTTGCGAGTTGCGTCCCTTGGGCACGCCAGAAACCTATGATTGTGGGTTCGAATCCCGGTTCGCCCCGATTAAGTTTCTAGGTTTGTCAGCACCATACCCGTGCTCGTGGGTTTCACCGAAGTGGTAAACGTCTGAGACCTGCATCACTTCGGGCTTTCCTCCCACATAAAGCTTACACGCAGCGATATAACTGGAATACTGTTAAAAACGGCGTTAAACCCAACTCACTCACTCACTCACTCTTACACTACTAGCAACTATATAACAAGAATGATACTAGGAGGACATTATCCGCCACGCACGAAAACCCCAGAATTATAGCTGAAGTAAACGAGTTAATATTTCAAATGTATGGATCGAAACGGCATGTCACAATTAAAAACTGCCTGTCTTTGATCTTAGCTTATGGTTTTCGTTAACCATATTCAAAAGATTACAGCTATTATTTCACTGTAAAATGTGAAAGTCAATTAAAGATCCACAAATGTATAACCAGCGACAAAGGGTGGAGTCGTAGGTACGATCAAAATAATTGGCAAAATCCTTGGCCGTTCTACCGGGATTAACACGATGCTCGTTAAACAGAGAAACACACTAACACTACTGTAAAACCGGGCTAGGTTATATTCACGTCTCCTCTTTTGTGTTTAAGATGAATTATGAAATATTTGTCCAAAACAAATTCAGACATGAAAAGGTCCAAATCACGAAAGTGCTTACGACCGAAATTAAAGTAATAAAATTTATTCGTTTAGTTTCCCGTATTAACTTAAAAGCGTAAGTCGAAATTAATAGTCTGTGAAAATTCCTCCAGTGTGATCTTATTAGAGATAAATGATTGGAGTCGGGATGGTAAGTATAATTTGATCGGAGGACAATTGGTCCCCTGTCCTCGTAACCCAGCAGGGCAGATTTTGGGGAGATCCTTTTTAAAACCATACCATTCTTGCTGATGCATGTCACGTTGGCTGGCCGTGCTAGTGTCATCTTGTACCCGCTCCCATTGAAAGTTCGTTTGTCTGTACGAGGTGGCATCGATTATTTCGTTGGCGTTGCTGTTGTGGTCTAGACAATGCCGCCTTGTCCTGCTACAAACACTCTCTCATAACAGAAGTAATGATGCTTAAATATATGATAGTGAAATAATAATAAAAGAGAATGAACAAATGCATGTTTGTTTGTTTGTTGTTTAAGGCCGCACTCAACAACATTCCAGCTATATGACGGCGGACTGTGTACAGTCGAGTCTGGACTAGACAATCCAGTGATTGACATCATGAGCATCGATCCACGCAATTAGGATACGATGAAGGCATCAACCAAGTCAGCGAGCCTGACCATCCGTTCCCGTTACTCGCCTTTTACGACAAGTATAATCGCCTTTTAGGGGCGGTCGGGTAGCCTAGGGGTTAA